TATGAAAATGGAACTCTAATACATGATGAATGAATGATGGCTGTACATTTTGTAATAGGTTTGTGTTGTTTTGTCAAATTCTACATAAAAAAGGTTTTTCCTAGCTTAAGGACTTTTTTCCTTCCCTTAAACATATTTAAGCTGTGCAGTACCCGCCTGGATTCTGAACAGGAAAAAGTTCTACTGAGTTACTACGTCACCTACATCACCTAATGAATTCCCTCTGCCTTCCTGGGGGGTTTAGGACCAAGCTGCAGGGGAGTACCTCTTGTTGGTAATTTCTTATCCTACCTTTTTTGGGGGCAGGCACACCTGGCAGTGCTCAGGAGACCGTATGGGATTGAACCTGGGTTGGCCCTGTGCAAGGCAAATGCCCTACCAGCTGTACCATCACTCCAGCCCCTTCTGATCCTACTTTGACCCAAAGCTGGAGTGCACTGAATGTGGGCACCTGGGACCGTGGTATGTCTCTGGAATGTTTGAATGTAGAGAACTAGGCTGCTTTCCCTGCAATGTGGCGAGAATGGAGGGAGAAGCGGAGTCTCTCTCCTTTCTAGTCTACCACATTCTCCTACATACTTGCTGCTACACATGCTCTCTTATCTCCTAAACATTTAAGACTTCCCCACCTGCTATTTTTTGGGGGAGGGCCAACTGACAATGCCTTGGGGAACATGAAATATCAGGGATCAAACGTACAAAGTATGCGCTCTGTCCTTTGAGTCATCTCCCCCACTCTCATTTTATTATTATTTTTTTGGTTTGTTTTGAGGCCATACCTGATGGTGCTTAGGGCTTATCCCTGGCTCTGCACTCAGGAGTCACTCCTGGTGGGATCCAGGGGACCATATTGATGCCAGGTCAGCTGTGTGTGCAAGGCAGGCACCCTACCAGCTGTACTACCACTCTATTTTTTTTCTTTTTTGGGTCACACCTGGCGATGCATAGGGGTTACTCCTGGCTCTGCGCTCAGGAATTACCCCTGGCGGTGCTTAGGGGACCATATGGGATGCTGGGAATTGAACCCGGGTTGGCCGCGTGCAAGGCAAACGCCCTCCCCGCTGTTACTGCTCCAGCCCCCCTTCCCCCTCTCCCCCGTCCCTATTTCTAACAGGTCACTGGACACATATCAGGTCAACAAACTCCTTGGTCACCAACCTTCCTAGTCACTCCGTGAACCTCCAAGGACCCCATGCATAAGTCGGGACCCTGTGATCATTGGTGATGTGGCTATTTCTCCCAGTAAATTTGAGTTTGTTGGAGGGGAGAGGCTTTATATTCTTTTGTATCCTCAATGTGTGGCAACTGAAAACATTTCTTTGAACAAAAGAATATAACAGAATCAGTTGAGGTATAGCTAGTGACTTTTTTCCTTCCCTTAAACATATTTAAGCTGTGCAGTGCTCGCCTGGATTCTGAACAGGAAAAAATTCTACTGAGTTACTAGTGTGACTTCTCTTTTTTAAAATCGAGGAAATGAGCCCTGAGAGGGAAGTGCTGGAAGAGGCTTAATTCTCTTGTTACTCATTCAGCACAAACACCTGGTTAGACCTAGGAAACTTTTGCAGATAATACAAAAAAAAAATTAAATGAAAGTGATTTGTCCCAATTTAGACAAAATGCTTGAAGCTGCTTTGGAAACATTATATGTTCATACATACACATATATAATTATATTCCCCCACCAGATAAGGAGTTTTAGTAGACACTAGAGCGGGTCAACACCTGTTGACCAAATTTCACGTTATGAAATGCCCACTTTTATAGGAAAGAGGTTTACAGTGTTGGCGAGCATAGTGGGACTGAAACTGTAGGAGGAGAGTTGAAAAGTGGGGGACCACTGTGGGATCCGACCGGCCAATCCTGGGTGCTCTGGTGTTCCAGAGAGATTGTGTATTGAAGAAGCCATTGCAGCCAGGGAGAGTGAAGGCACTTTGCAGTGGGGTCCTTGAGGGGGGTAACATCTCCCCCAAGTACTGCAGAGTTTATGGTGGCCGTTCTGTGTTCTTCTCTGGCAGGTTAGCCTGCTGTGCGCAGAGGTGCAGGTGCTGCCCCAGACTAAGAGGAAACAAACAGGTTTTGCCCCTCCCCCACCTCCCCTTCCTGCCAGGGCTCCATTTCTTTGTGACAGTGCACTCTGCAGCAAACCTAGCAAAACCCACTCAGGTAAAGCTGCACCTCTGGTGCTTCCTACCACATCTACCTTGGACACATCTGTTTCTTTTCTCCTGTTAATCTTTTAGCTTTCCCTACAGCTCAGCCTGGAAATTTTCCCTCCCTTGAACATTTCACCAAAATGATTTACTTTTAGTTTGGAGAGGTTTTGCTTTTATCTTGGGGTAGGGATGGAAGACACCCTCAAAAGGAAGGAAACGTACTTATGTTTCAAAAAGAACAGGGGAAGGAGTGGGAGGAAGTGAGAAAACAGAACCTGATACATGTGAAGAAATTAAAAAACTCCTCACATCTTAGAGCAGATCGAATTTACATTTTACTTAAAAAAAAGGAGGGGGGAGATACATACACAGGGAGGAATATGGGGTGCCGAACAACAACGGTCTGAAATGGTTTTCTACAAGTCTCCCCTACAGTGACTGATTCTGTCTTCAGGGCAGTTTTTCCTCCCGCTGGCGCTCAACTGCCGACAATATTAACAAGGTTGTAGGGGAGGGAAACGTCAGAGTTTAGGCCCGGTGGAAAAGGAAAGGAAGTTATCATATACAATGTAAGTTTACAACACACAGCAATTTCTTTAAATGATGTAACGCACTCGCAGGAAGAGATTAACAATACTAACACGAGAATAATCAAATTTTTGTTATCCATGTACAGCAACTAACTGCTTTACAAAAAAGCGAAATAATACAATATATCATCACATGTATTTACAGTGTAGTAAATATACTTTTCTGTCAAATTTTACACAAACTATTTACAGGTGAATATACTGCATTTAAAAAAATTGTGTGGCTGACACTAGGACTGAATATTTTTTTGTGTGTAAGTCCATTGCATAACATATGACAAGCCTCACTATGCCTGGGGGTAGGAGTAGGGGTGAGTGGGGAGGATGCCAAAAAACAAAACCCAAAACCAAACAAAAGAGCTGAAAGAAAATGGAAAAACTCTGAATCTCACCAAGCAGGGGGGGGGTGGGGTTGCTGGCTTACATTTGGTCTCTCCCCAGAACATCCGTTCCACAGGGTGGCAGCTGACGGGTCCTCAGCGTTGTCTTCTCAGCACTGGCATCCAGCACTGAATAGGTGGGCAGTGGAGGAAGGACAGTACTCACCCCCTGTCCCAGAGTGAGACAGCTGTGTGTCTCGGTGTGGGCAAACAGGGGAGGACCTCTGGGACAGGAACATGGCTAAAATGGGGCCAAGGATGCACAACCAAACACAGTAGTTATTGTTTTCCTCTAAAAACTCAGGGAAAATATCCATCAACCCCAAGCAAGTGACTTAAAACGTCTTATTTCTTCATGGGTGAGGTGGGGGATGGACACTCCTGGCAGTGCTTGGTACAATGCAATATCAGGAATTGAATCTGGGGCTCCCACATGCGAAGAGTATGTTTTAACCTCTGACTTAGATCCCTGGCCTTGGCGTGCAATTTTTGTTATGGAAGTTACATCAAATTATGCGGAACGCAATTAGAACTTTAAAGTTTCATATATAAGGGCCTCAAACAGTGTTGTATTTCTCAGGGAAAGCGTATTGGTAAGAGGTTTACTGTATATTCATTTGTATAACTAATTTTAGTTCCTTGGAAGGTTAGATTTTCCCAAGATGTCAGAAGTTCTTTAAGCAAAGTTAATTTTATTTTGTTATTATTTGGATTTGGGGCATACCCAAGTATTGCTGGGGGAGGAGGGGAACCTCTCCTGGCAGTGCTTAGGGGAAAATGTAGTATCGGATCACACCTGGGCCTCTGGCATGAAAATCACATGCTCGTCTGCTGAACTTAATCTCCACTTCTAAACAAGGTAATTTAAAACCACAGTAAGTTTCCAAATTTTCAGGGCATACTGGCCAAAATCTGTTTAACGCTGATCATCACTTTATGAGGTACTTCAAAGGGAAAGAGTGAATAACTTTAATAAATACCATGCCCTGGAAAGCTTTCTATAGAAATTACTAGTTTGAACAGAAAACCGTTGGAAGTTTCCCATTTTGATGAGAGAAGCAAAATAGCACACCATATCCACTGTCATGTGCACGGAGCCACCCGCAAGGAGGAAAACCATGGAAGCAAATGATTCAAGTCCCACATCTGCCTTTTATCCTGGGAACCGAGGAGCTATAATCTTGCTCAGAGTAGCTGCAGGAGAACCCTGGCATCAAAGCTAGTTTGGCATCCCTGGCACTGGGTTGTTAATGATCTGTGTCTCAGATCAAGTCTTGGCTTCTGTTGGGTTTAGTTGCTGTCATTGTGTATTCCATTCTAGGGCAGCCTCTCTAACAGCGCTAAATCAAAGTGTAGGAAATTGTCCTGTCCTCAATATTCCCAGTAATTCTTTATCAAAATAATTATTGATCTCTCTCTTTTTTTGGCAAATGGTTCTTTTTTTTTCACCCAGGACTGTAAACAAATTAACGAAATTAAATTCTTGTTATTTCTGAATATCAAAAGCAATTTTATTTACATTAACATATTACATTGTTACTGTGTAGATAAATGTGAAATGTATTATATTATTAAAATCAGAACACTTAAATGTACCATTATTTGTTGATTTAGCTGTGGAATTTAATTTACTGGAATCCACTCATGAAATAGCTCTACAGGGAAACTTCCCTTCCCCTCTCCCCAAGGCTGTTTCATCTCAACACACAGAGGGAAGCTGGGAGCTAGAGGCAATAATATCTTTCTGGAATAAATATGGTTTTAGTCCTAACTGGAACATCCACGAATCAATGTGCTCACTGAAGACTAATATCTTCGCATGTCTCAGGCACCACCAAGAAAACGGAATCTGGATGATTAGGGGAATCCCGACGCCACAGCAACGCTTTGGGTCCCTGTTTCACACTGACGAAGCTGACCAGGCCTTTCATAGTGATGACCTAGGAGCCTAGCAGAGAGAGTTTCGCTAAAGAGAGTCCTGATTTAGGGGGATGGGGAGGGGAAGAGTAAAGACATTTAAACTACATCTTGTCAAAGAACCTGTCGATAATATACATCAGCGTCTGTGCTTCCTGGGGGAAATTATTTAACAAAATGAAAGCACTGGCTACTCCTGAAAGTCACGTACCATTCCGTTTCGCTATGGAGCTAACGCAAACATCTATGAAAATTACCTTTTAGGGATCATTTTCAACACTTTTTTCACTGCTTACCCTGCTCAAAATTAATTAGGGAAAAAAATAAAGAAGAGGAGGGGGGAAATGTATCATACTATACTTAGTATAGTTTTAGCTTACAAAAACAACACAAAACAACCAATATTTAGCATGTCTAAAGACTGAAAATCAACTCGAGGAAAAAGTAAACTCGTTTGGATGACTGAGTTTGGATAAGGCCTCAGAAACCATAGCTTTAATTCAGTAATATTAAGATATATGTGGTTATGCTTATTTTTCTGTAATTATTGCTAATACTCAAGTGTTAGTATTTAAGAACCCACTACAAAATACTAAGTCCCTCCACCCCCCAAAAGTACCTCGCCTGTAGCTCTGTGGTGTGAAGTCCCTTGAGGCTTGGGCCTCTACTGTTCCTTCACTTTTGTTAAGGTAAAAAAAAGTCCACAGCTAAAAGTCAGATTAAACATACTGGGGTTATAACGTTATTTCTTCCATAAGCTTCTATCTTGAAAAGTGTGTAAATAAGACTAACACTTTACTCTGTATGATGAAGAAGGGGGAGAACATAGAAGGCAGAGAGCTCTGTGCAAATGGCTTTCGTAGCTGGCTAGTAGGAGCAGTATTCAGTCATCCAACCTCTCTGACAACTGGGAGGGTCTCAGCCCAAGTGTCCTGGACCTCCACCTTCATTCGCAGTTGTTCTGAACACTTGCTTAGACCAGTCACACACCCAAAGGAGAAGAGAGAAAAGTGAAAGGAAAAGCAGCATTAAATTTAGGCAATGCTTCCGAGAGTTGATCATCCGGCAACACGGCAGACTGTTGGGCTCATTAGGAACATGGAGTGCAGCCTCACAGCACGGTGGTGAAAGGGTCCCTAGTGAAGGGCCCGTGTCAGTTAGGACGGTTTGAAAAAAGAAAGAAAGAAAGCTTCACACGATCTTCTTAATGCTATTACGTTTGAAACTGCCAGCGCTTCTTTGTTTTTGCACTTGGCTTGCGGATCCATGGCGAGTTCGTCCACTGTTACAGTGCCCAGTGGTAGGGGAGAGTTCAACGTTCTCCTTGTCGATTCCTGCAGAGAAACAGAGCAGCCAGTTACTCCCTGTCCTCTGGCGGGATATTCCAGGGCTGAATCCTGTGATATGAACAGGAGTTACCACCTGGTAAACTGATTTTGTGCATTGCATTGGAACAGTCAACTGCTGGAATGCCACACAGCGAAACGCATCTTGTTAAGCAAAATTTGCGATCACAACAGAAAAACAATGTAAGAAAGAAGCTGAGATGTTGAAAGGAAAAACTAGAGTAGGCACTGGGGAAGACACTCTCTCCTCCAATTCAGACCAGCAGCTGCCAGCAGAGGTTGACCCTAGACACATCCCTACAGCTGATGAGGCACAGACTCTGGTGTAGTGTGTTGCGGGACCTGAAGAGATGGCACTGCCATGACCCGACCACCCTCGTGCCTGGGGTCAGAGGAGAGCCGGCGATTAAACCGGGGTCAGCCACATGCAAGGCATGCACCTTAACTCCTGTGCTATCTTGCCTGACCTCTTTATTTCTTAAATCATAGGGCTTGTCCCAAGGAACTTAAGGATTTATGAGGAAATAATTTATCACAAAAGTTGTGTAGTAGTGTTTTTTTTAAGCTTTTTGGGTCACACCCAGCAATGCTCAGGGGTTACTTCTGGCTCTGCACTCAGGAATTACTCCTGGTGGTGCTCTGTGGACCATATGGAATGCTGGGAATTGAACCTGGATTGGCTGCATGCAAGTCAAATGCCCTACCTGCTGTGCTATTGCTCTAGCCCCTAGAAAGTGTTTTATCCTTTCCAACTATGGTAAGTGATTTCATGTTCTGGTCTTTAAATTCTAGGTAGGATTTATTTCCCTTATCACGATTAAATTTCCCCAAATAATTTTTAATAAACTTTAGAGATAATATAAGAAATAATTTCATAAAAGGAGCTAAAAACAAGGTATTTTTTTAAAGCCCATATTACTGGAAATTACAAATTAGACAGACACAGAATAGCAGTTATACCTACAAAGGAGCAACGACCTAAAGGGGCAGAAGGTAGCTTTTTGGGGTGCTGGTAATGTTCTTAATCTGGATGCGGAGTTTTGACTTAAACATTTATTACTTAAATGTTTATTAAATGGAAAACAATAATTTATATAATTTCTGCTATATTTTATTCAAATTAATTTTTATCTAACTTTTTATGGTTTGGGGGCCACATGTGGCAGTGCTTGGGGCTTACTTCTCACTTTGTGCTTATGGATCACTCCTGGCAGTGTTTGCGGGGGGGGTCATATGTGGTATCAGAGATCAAACCCACGTCAGTCACATGCAAAGCAAGTGCCCTGTCTGCCATACTATTTCTCCAGCCCCTTTGTTACATATTAATAAATTCTACCAATTTATATGATTAGGCTGATTATACCCATCATGGCCTAAGTTATTAATGGGAGACCAAATAACTAGAGAAAATTGTAATAAGCTACATCCATATTTAAAGTGCTGATTAAAATTTACTGATACTGAAGGATAAAATAGGAAAATTATCATTTTGATAAAATATTATTTTGAAATAGGAAAAAAAATACCCACATTCAGGGAAAAATTTTGAGAAAATATTTTCCAAAATTACCTATGGGGCTGGAGAAACAATACAGGAGCTAAGGTGCTTTCCTTGCACAGTACTGACCCCAGTTTGATCTCCAGCACTGCATGTGGGCTCCTGAGCACCATCAGGAATGATCCCTGAGCACAGAGCCAAGAGTAAGCCCTGAGCACTGCCTGGTGTAGTCCCAACCCTCCGCTCTACTCCCCCTACCCAAATTATCTTTGGTTTGATTTCAGGTTATTTTCATCTTATTCCTAGCTGTATCATTTGAATTTTAAAAATAAATATTAACTTTGAGAATGGAAAGGTTGGAAAAAAGATGGTTGGGTTTGGTCTCCAGTATCCCACATATTGTCCCCGGGACACTGATAGGAATAATTCCTGAGTGTAGAGCCAGGAGTAATTCTTGAGCACTGCTAGGTGTGCCTAAAAAACAAACCAAACCAAACCAACAACAAAAAAAGCAGGGTTCAAAAATCAGACTATGTCCATGTCAAGCATTAACAAGAACATGGCCTGATTTTCAAAAGTTTAGTTGAGATTTGCTGTCTTGAACTTATCAAAGGAAAATGAATATTTGTCAGCATTTTTTTTTTTTGAAAAAAAAAATCACACTGGTTCAGGAGAGTGACAGGAACTACAAATGTCAGCAACACCTCTTCAGGAGCCAAGCACAGTGAATCACTCTCTTGAATCCATTAAACTCAGATTTGAAACTATGTATAGAAAAACGAATAGAACATATTACAAAGTTTGGGCTAAAATTATAGTACAGCGGGTAGGGAGCTTATCTTGCATGTGGCAACCCAGGGTTTGATCCCCATCATCCCATAAGGTCCCCTAGGCACTGTCAGGAGCGATCCCTGAGTTTGGAGCTAAGGATAACCCCTGAACATCGCTGGGTGTGGTGCCAAAACCAAAATTGACACCAAAACTAGTATAACCCTCCATATTATAAGATTCCCAGAACTTTTCTCTTCAGCATATTTATTTGCATCTTCTCTAGAGTTATTTAACTACTTATGACTTGCTGTCCCTTGTCTTTTCAACTTTGCTGATGGACTTGTGCAGGCTTTTAGAACTGATCACTGCTAAACAGGCAGGATACTACTGCAATGTTCAGTTCATCATTTTTTCTCATCTCTATTTTCTCTTTCCTTCTGGCAGACTTCTTTGTTTTCTGCTTTTACAGAGTTTGCCTATACTCTCATAACCTGTGATTTCCTCACAAGAGTTAAGGCAGGGGTCAGAGAGATAGGACAGTGGGTAAGAAGCACCACCAGGAGTGTTCCCTGAGGACTGCCAGGCATGGTCCCAAAACAAAACAAAAAAAGAAAAAGAGTGAAAGCATTTAGAAGAGCTGATTATTATTATTCACTTCTGCTTTCCTGTAAGACCCAGTTGTTTTCTTTTCCAATAAATATTAGTTGAAGTGAATGCTTCCAATTTTTTATACTTTTTTTTTGGGGGGGGGATGTTTTAGGGGGCCCTCCCCAGTGATGCTGGGGGCTATCAAAACACATCTCGTGGTGGTCAGGAGGTCACAGGGTGCTGGGGAAGCAAATCAGGTGCCCTGTGCATACCAAGCCTGAGACCAAGCCCCCTTGAGCTCTCCCCTCCCAAATACTACTCCGCCTCCCCCTCCCCAGCCCTCCAGGCAGCCTCCCTTCACCTCACAATAGAAACAGTGAAGGCAGTTGGAAACTAACTGCACTTCTGAAAAAGGCCTGCTTCACCGTACAGAATTATATAGAAGAATTATGAGTCACATAAATTAGAGCCAACGACTTATGGCACCAGAACCAAGACATTTTCGAAGCAGTACTAAGAATATTTTATTTTTTGTTAAGCAAATAACTTTTAGATCTTTAAACAAAAAATTATCTCCTGTTAAATGTGGAGAATAAAAGTAGATTACAGGGGCTTAGTGACAATACAGCAGGTAGAGCATTTGCTTGCATGCCACTGACCCGGGTTTGATCCCCAGCATCCCATATGGTCCCTGGAGCATCGCCACGAGTGATCCTTGAATGTAAAGCTAGGAGTAACCCCTGAGCACCACTGGGTGTGGCCTCAAAACAAAAATAACCCCCCAAAAAGTAGATTACAAAGCTGTTTACATAATATATCCTCGATCACAAAGAGAGACTAGAAGGACATACACACCAGACAACCAGATGCTAATAAACTGATTATCTTAAAGTGACAGAATTATGGGTGATATTTAAATTTTTCACATATTTTGGGCCGAAATGATAGAACAACAGGTAGGGCATTTGCCTTGAAATGTGGCTGACCCCATACGGTCCCCTAACCTCTACCGGGAGTGATCCCTGAGCACAGAGCCAGGAGTAAGTCCTGAGCACTGCTGGGTGTGACCCAAAACCAAACATTTTTTCTCGTTTTATGTTTTATTTTCCCTTAATAAGCATATGTTCCTTTAAATTAACCCCCACCTCCACAAACAAATACCTGAAGTATCACGAACAGCCCTGTCATGTAGAGTTTCACTGCTATGTGAGGCTGATGTCCTAGTTTTAGTTTCTTTTTTCTTTTTAAATGTAGGAGTACTGCTATTTATTCAGCCACTAATTAAGCTGTGATGTCCTACTTCTATCCTACAATTTAATTTTCATTTCAATTCTGGGTTTTGTAAGTTTTCTTTCTATTTAATGATCTAACTCTACAAGTCACACACAGGTAAATGTGGCATTCTAAATTCAACTTCTAAGTGAAGATGTCTTAAACATGAAAGGAAACACTGACAAAAACTTTAAAAACAGAAGTGCATTATTTTTTTGGTGTTATTTATTTGGTTTCAGGGCCACAGCCAATAGTGCTCAGGCTCTGTGTTCAGGGGTCACTTTGGCAGTGCTTGGGAACAGGCACATATGTGCTACTGGGAACTGAACAGGGATTGGCAGCATGCAAAGCAGGTGTATTAGTCCCTGAACTATTTTTACAACTCTATTATAAAAGTCTTGGAAGGTCATACTGAAAAAGCAGTCAAGGGCTGGGGAGATGTTTCTCATGCTGAGGTCCTGGTTGGATTCCTGACAGTGCATGGTCCCCTGAGCAATGCCTTTTATAGAAAGCCCCAACCCCTACCCTGCATCAATTTTAAAACATGGTGTATATAACATCTTTAAAAAGACATGTTTGGGCTGGAGAGACAGTACAGAAGGTAGGGTACTTGCCTTGCATATATCGTTGACTCAGGTTCAAATCCCCAGCACTGTGTATGTGTATATGGTCCCCTGAGCACTTGCCAGAAGTGATCTTTGAGCAGTGTGAGTTCCCTTCCCCCACCCTCATCAAACAAAAAGGCTAAGTCAGCAACGAAACTAGCATTTAAATTTCTAAGCATAATGTTCACCTTTTGAGAATTCTGGCAGAATGCTTTCTTTAATCCTCCAAAATTAATTCTGGAAACCTCTAAAAGCTGGTGAAAGATTTGGTTTCAACATTTTATCAGAAACTTTAATCTGCTAGGCCACTCAAACAAAGACAGAACCTATTCTGTGATGGTACGTCCCGTACTTTAAATTTACAAGCAGAACATGGTATTGGAATTCTGTTATTAAACCCTCTTGGACGCTTTGCACACTGGTCTTCCTTATGCCCGTAAGCACTGACTCTCCCTTCTAGCCCTCAGTGGGCACAAAAGCAAAATCCAGGGGGGTAACAGAAACCCAGGAGTTACCACCCAAATAAAAGAGGTACAAGTGCCTGGAATCCTGACTTACTAGTTTAATCCCACCAGCCCCCCCATAAACTACAGCGGAACATGCAGCCAGTCCCAAACATGCAGGGCACAAGCCATACATTTGCTCAGCAGTGCACTGAGAAGCACCTGCGCTTTTATGAGCTGAGGTGGTTGCAGAGGTATATATAAGAGGCATTTCTAAACAAAATTTAGTGGATCAAGTGGAAAAAGAACGATGAGAGAATTTTTAATGATTTCAGCAATAGGTCCATCTTGGCTTGAACATGACTTCCTTGAAGGCAGGTATTAAGGTTCATTCTGGCAACTAGGGGAAACAATCCAGCTGGATAGATAACAGAACATTTAATTTTAAAAAATCCACCTGTCTTAAAAATATCAAATGGTCTCCTAATATTTTAGCTAAATAATAACAGTGTTATTTCCGTTTTAATTCTCAGAGAAACAGGAAAATGAGTTCATCAGTAAGAAGCTGCACTACAAAAATAAAAGACTACACTACTGTAACCATGTTACCCAAACTACCACAGAAAGGAAAAATGAAAGATTAATAATAACCCTTATCTCCTACCACCTGCACAGAGTGGGGTACTGATAAGGTCCCTGACCCTGTGCTGTGCAACTTACTACATATACGGCCTGTATGGCAAACCAGGCAGGAAACTGTAACTACATATACGATAAGCCGAACACTGTTACATATGAAATGTGGCAAAATGACAGAAGCCTAAGGGTGGAATCTTGGCTGGATAAGAAACTCTCATACGGTTCTAGTCCTCAATCTGACAATTAATGGTATCAGTAAACTTTCCTATGTCAAAGAGTTAGGAGAAACAGAATCAGTTAAGATATGTGAACAGTTTTGCACATAAAAATAACTATACAAAATAAGATACTCTTAATACCTGTAGTTAAAAGATCATGCGATGTACTGAGAGGAGTTTTAAAACAAATGTCCAGAACTAACTTTATATTTAAAAAAAAAAAAACCCTGCTGAATACGAGAAAATAAATACAAGTGCAAAATACAATAGATTTTCTTAGAAAAAAAGGTAACTAAAGCTTGTTTTAGGGTAAATTCATGGAACTGAGTTGAATATATATATTTATATTTTGAGTCTAATCTATATAAACAGCAATTTTTAAAATGTCTTACTGGGCTTTTATTAACTAACACTTTTTGTTCTGTTTAGGTTATATAATATTTTTAATATAAAATTATAGGAGAATAAAATATAAGGCACATTTTATAAATTACAAACAAACAAAAAACAGAGGCCAGGAAGATAACTCAAAAAACTATGGCGCATGCCATGCCTGGTTTGAAAGAATCACTGTCACTGTCCTCCCGTTGTTCATCGATTTGCTCGAGCGGGCCCAGTAACGTCTCCATTGGAGACTTTGTTGTTACTGTGTTTGGCATATCGAATACATCACGGGGAGCTTGCCAGGCTCTGCTGTGCAGGCGAGATACTCTTGGTAGCTTGCCGGGCTCTCCGAGAGGGGTGGAGGAATCGAACTCAGGTCGGCCATGTTGGCTGCGTGCAAGGCAAAAGCCCTACCGCTGTGCTATCACTCCAGCCAACTTGAAAGAATATGTGAGTTTATTTTATTTCTATTTTTTATTTCTTTTGCTTTTTGAGTCACACCCAGTGATGCTCAGGGATAGCTCCTGGCTCTGCACTCAGGAATTACTCCTGGTGGTGCTTGGGGGGACCATATTGGATGTCGGGGATCGAACCTGGGTTGGCTGCATGCAAGGCAAACGTCCTACCCCACTGTGCTATCGCTCCAGCCCGGAATCTGTGAGTTTAACCCCAGGGCCACACTGTCACCAACTTTACCTTAAACTCTGCATCAGTGCTGCTGGGGAGAGGAGTTCCCTCCTACCCCACCAAATGAAATGGGGATAATGATATATAGATTCATGGCACAAAGTTAAATTAGACTAAACTGAATTATGTGGATAATATCTTTAGCAAAAACCAAACCATCCAAAAAACCTCCAAAATCCAAATGACAGAGTAAACAGCCAGCTTTAATTTTATAGGAAACATTGGCAGGGGGTGGCTTTATATTTTAGGAAAATAAGTATTTTCAAAGCAAAAAACACTTGCTGAAGCTGTTAGCTGTCCTTAGAGGATCTTGATAACTGCCAGCGTTAGTCAAGGGTGAACACATCTTCAGTGTGCATGGAGGAATAAGCCACTCTTTAAATGTGTCAGAAAATGCCACCAGCACACCCAGATAATCTGCAGTTCTTTACAAATTACTTGGTGCCTAAGCCAGACTAAGCTGACAGGGGCTGGCAAATGAAGTCTCATGCCATGTGCCCAGGATGAGTGCAGGGTAAGCAGTATTCCGTGCAAAGATGATGAAAATAAAGAGTACCTTGATGAGAGATCAGCTGCATGGAAACTGCTGATTTAGAGCAAGGCAGAGAAGCTTCACAAACAGGATGGAAGAAAACACAAAAGTGAGTCATGTCCACACAATTTTTTCAAAAGGATGAAATATGATTAGATACTGGGTAACGATTATGCCCCCTGTTTTCAGACAGAATTTGGTGTTCACAACTTACTCTTGGCTCTGAACTTGGGGATCACTCCTGGTGGTACTTGGGGGACCACGTACAGGTGCTGAGGATCAAACCTGGTTGGCCAAATGTAAGGAAAGTGCCTAAATCTCTGTACTACCTCTCTGATCTTATCACAAAACATTTTAAATAAAATTTAATGTGAACAAGGGGTAAAGTCTTTTTTTTTTTAGCTTTTTGGGTTACACCCGGCGATGCACAGGGGTTACTCCTGGCTCTGCACTCAGGAATTACTCCTGGCGGTGCTCAGGCAACCATATGGGATGCTGGGAATCAAACCCGGGTCAGCTGTGTGCAAGGCAAATGCCTTACCCGCTGTGCTATTGCTCCAGCCCCACAAGGGGTAAAGTTTTAATGTTGAAAAGATAGTTTTTCTCTTAATATTTTCTTCTGCTTTTCCACCTGATTAAAGTTTAGAAGAATGGGTGCAGGCTGATACTGCTAATTGGATGGGGAGCTTATAGTCATGCTGCATTTTAGGGAGTGAGACAGACCTTTCTTAACTACTTCGCATGTGACCTGGCTGATGGGAGTGAAGTAAGGGAAATATCTGGTTTCTAGAACAGCCACACAATTAAATTGAAATACAAAACTAAGTTAGGAATCAGGAAAGATTCATCACTTTGATATCAGTAAACTCAGCTCCATAAACTAAATTGTAAGAAGAATATAAGATTACATGGTACTAAAGACAAAAGGCAGTACGCTAATTACGAAGTATTAGCTATTACAGGAGGCATTCCATAAAAGCAAATAACAAAAATCACAATAATTACATACACAAATCAATTAAGATCCTTTCATGGAAAGGAGCCCACAATTTAGGGATAAAAGTGGAGAGTAGTTACTAATGAAAATGTAAATCTTTTCTCCAGAAACATGTTGTAAAATAATTTGACAAGCCAAATGACATATCATTTAGTGTCAGAAAATGATAAAATGCTGTAATTCTACTTAATTCATTTAATTTTTTTTGAGGGGTACTGGGGCCACGCCCAGCTATATGAGATCCAGATGTGAAGGCTGATGGTTTTGGGGCCATCCTGGTGTAAAGGGGGGGGTCGTGTGGTATGGGGGAATCAAACCTGCGACCCTGTGGTATCCAGGATTGCTTTCCAGTCTTTTGAGCTACTTCCCCCACCCCTCACTCTATTATATTCTTATTTATTTGTAATGACAGAAAAGTGCTTTCATTGAGCCACATCCTGGGCTTCCTCTGACTACTTAAGATTCAACTTCCTTTAGAAAGAACCAGAGGGTTTCTGGGATATAGTTGTCTACCCAAGTAGCCACCTTTGGAGAACTACTGGAGGTGAAACATTTATTTAAAAATGGTACCCAGATCATACATACTATTCTCCAATTTTTATAAACAATTCAAATACAAGGTTGGAGATTAGGAGTAGTTTTCCAAGCAAGTGGTATAGCTAATGACTTCCCAATAGAGGATATAAGCAATGACTAAACTAGCATGGGAACCTGTATAGGAATCTTTATTCTCAGTCTGATTATTATATTGTTGCCACTGGTGGGAACAGATGGGCAGAAATTTCCCCAGGAAAACAAAATAGTCAATATAAACTGAACTTTGAAAGCAAAAGGATCAATATATAATCTACTAGTTTTTAAAAAAATCTGATCATTTTTTAATGGTTGTCCATTAAATAACCCAGAAAACAGAGAGCTCTACAGAAGAAAAGGACTGATGGAAAAGGCAGAGGGAAATAAGGAAAATAAACCAGAGGGAAAGGACAAAAGCAGAGAGAAGGAGCAAGGAAGGGGAGGAAGACAGACAACAGATAGACGGATGTACACAGAAGGCAATGGAAGTGGAAGAAGAGCACTGGTCTTGGTTACAGATGAGGTCTGTGTGATCAATCAATTAACTTCTCTTCAACCACACGTAGGACTGAGCATAGAAGTAAATGTCATCTGTGATTCCCATCAATCCTTACCAGCTCCAAAATGCTAAGATTACAGATTGGAAGATAGTGGGAAAAGAAGTCAGTAGATTCACAACTTAGAAGAAAGTGAAGTTTAAGTGTTGTAATGGTTTTGAGAATTGAATTTTGGTAACCTGGCATGATTACAGGCATATCCCAGAGCAGTGCTTCTCCAACTCAGGTGTGTTTATTAGAACACAGATGGGACCATGGGGACAGGCAGAGTAAGATTAGGGATAGGCCCTAAAGGGAATCATATGGTTTGCAAGGTCAGGAGGGTGGCTAGTGGGGGAAGGGGTGTCTGAAAACCTGGATGACTGAGGCCCTGCAGAGCAGATACTGGAAGATAATCATCTCAGCATCTTCTCCACCTTTTACCAGCCAGCACAATAAGGAAACGCTCACCCACCAGTTTTGTTAGAAAGGTGTAAGAGGGTAAAGCCCTCTGCATTTCTCTGGAATCCTTCTTGAGAAGATCCTCCCACAATCTGGGAGCTTCCCAGTCTTACTTCCCAACCCATTTGTTTCCATCTTGACAGCTTGAGGGGAAGAACCTAGCCCCAGCATCTGAGTTTTTCAAGTCGGAGGCCTGGGGTGGGGTTCTAGCATTTACATTTCTTAACAAGCTTCCAAACAATGTCCCAGGCCATTTGCCTGGGACTACATTTAGAAGAAACACCGTCTTAAGGACAAGTGAACAGGCTACATGGGGGAAATATGTTTTTCAGTTTTCTTACTTCTTGCAGGGGACGGGGTGTGAGGCTGAAGTGGGAGAGGGATACAGGACTGTATCTGGGGAAAAGGAGTGGTGCAGGACTGAATAAGGGGGAACAGGACTGTATATGGGGAGCAGGAGAGTGTTGCAGGACTGCATGCAGAAACAGAGTGATGCAGGGCTGCATATGGGAACAGGAGAGTGATGCAGGGCTGCATAAGAGGGAACAGAAGAGTGATGCAGGGCTGCATACGGGGTACAGGAGAGTGATGCAGGGTTGCATAAGAGGGAACAGAAGAGTGATGCAGGGCTGCATATAGGGGACAGGAGAGCGATGCAGGGCTGCATAAGAGGGAACAGAAGAGTGATGCAGGGTTGCATATAGGGAATAGGAGAGTGATGCAGGACTGCATATGGGGACAGGAGAACTTTTAAAAAGAAAACCCATAGCAAGAGTGTGTAAAGGGGTCAGCAAGAGAGTACACAGGCTAAGAGCACTTGCCTATGGTGAATCCCTGTCTGACTCCCAGCACCTCATGTAGAGGTAAACAGAGCAGCCCTGAGCACCGCCAAATGTGACCCCTACCCCCACCACGAAATAAAAAATAAATAAAACATTAAAGAGTTATATGTAAGAATGAGGTGCTTCATATGTGGATTTTTCAGATATTGGAATTTTCAGCATCAAATCTTTAAAAATTCTCTTCTTTTAGAGGCTGTCTTCCCAAGTAGAAAATATGACCCTAACAGAAGTTTCCCATCATTGCCCATGCGACCGTAAAAACACATGGCCTTGGCTCTAGAATGTCAGGTCACCCAGAACTATTGGAAATTCTCCGCTCTGACCTTGGAGGAGCACAGAAGTCTGTAGGCTTGCCAGTTCTGCAATCCTATCTCAACCCCACCTGAACTTTTACTTCCCAGAGTTTCCAACTCTTAGTTGCAAGCGGACTTGGTAAATATTTTCCCATTTGGACCTAACAGGGACTCTGCAGTGAGGAATAAGTTTATGAACTTGTGTGTGTGTGTGTATATTTTTTTAAGATAACTTTTTCATTTGGTTCTTCATTCCTAGATGTTCAGGTTGGTTTATGGATGATTGAGTTGTTATTGGCTATAGAGAAGGATGTTACTACATTTCTATCTAATTTTTGGAAATAGTATGGCAGCTAGGGATGTGGTTCAGTGGTACAGAACATGTATTGCATGTGAGGCTCTGGGTTTGATTCCTGGCATCTTCCCCCCATCAGCCTCTACTTGCCCCAAACCCTTAAAATGGAAATATTATACTGTATCAGATGCAGAAGTGCTTGGGGCAAGGTTAGTACAACTAGTAAGGGAACTATAATTCTGCTCACTTACAGGGTAATAATGTACTTTAGGTAATGTACCTTTCTGGCCAAAGTGTAAAGGCTATGAACCCTAGGACACTAAACCCTCTAAACATTTCACTATCTTATATATAACTGATTGAAACTATAGAGTATCAGAATTCACATCAATTAAAGGATAATGAAGAAATATAAGAGGAAACTCATGATAGAAAAGAGTAAAATCTGTGATAAACTGACAACAAGGGAATTCCTAATGTTGGTATATTTATATTATTTCTCAAATTTATATAAAGATCACATGTACTGACCTGGGGAATGCTGGGAAGTTGCAAGTGAGGTCATGGAATTAGAAAGGTTAAGGTTAGCGGTAATACTAAGCTGGCTCTGCACTGCAGGAGGATAAGGAGATGTGGGTGTCAGAAGGGACTCCTCACTGGTTTCTTCATCAATTCCAGGCAAATACGTGTCAATCAAGGCATCAAGAAATTTAACAATAAGCTCAGCATAGTCTGGGATTTGTGTTTGCTGTAATGGAAAATAGGAAATTATTTTAGCTCCATTCTTTTTTCCCCCCTCTTTTGTATTTTTTTTTCTATTTTGTAAATTCCCTCTGAAGCCAAAAAAAAAAAATCAATTTCAGGTGGGTACAGTTTACTATTTTTTCTTCCTTTGTTTTTGTTTTGTAGGTCATTTAAATAAGGAGTAGGGGTAAGTTATAGTTATAGACTATAAGGATACTTAAAACTAAGAACTTCTTTCAGCTTACACTAAACTTCCAGATGTAATCTGCAATTACTGAAAGCAATGTGTAAAGGAATGACTTTGATCCCGAGATAATACAATAATGAGAACTGGTGTCTTGTCAATTTCCTGAAGCAGGAAAAATGAGCGGAGCATCATCTGTGCACCTACCTTTTAGAGATTCAACTATAACCACTGTGAGGGTCACTGGCAATCAAACTACAAAATTCCCAGCATGAGGCCGGAAAGACGGTAGAGGGGGTAAGGCGCCTCACATACGGCTGACCTGGCTGGATCCCCAGCACTGCAGATAGTTGCTCTGAGCACTGTCAGGAGTGACCCTTGAGCATAGAGCCAGGAGTAGCCTCTAAGCACCACTGGGTTTAACCCCCAAACCAGTAAATAACTAACAAATAACTTATGCTTATTTCAGTGACTTCAGGTCTGTATTTTAAATGACAGTGTATATTAATGTATGTTTAAAAATTATTAAAAATAATTGAAAACACAATTAAAAAATTAGAACATGGTATAAATAATTCAGGGCTGGAGTGATAGCACAGCAGTAGGGTGTTTGCCTTGCACGCAGCCAACATGGCCGACCCGAGTTCGATTCCTCCACCCCTCTCGGAGAGCCCAGCAAGCTACCGAGAGTATCTCGCCCGCATGGCAGAGCCTGGCAAGCTCCCCGTGACGTATTCGATATGTCAGACACAGTAACAACAAAGTCTCCAATGGAGACGTTACTGGGCCCACTCGAGCAAATCCATGAACAACGGGAGGTCAGTGACAGTGACAGTGATAAATAATTCATATTGTTCTAGTATTCCCTGTATCTACTGTGATGTGGAACAGTGCAAACTGCAAACAGTGAAACTGCGGGGGAAGGAATACAAATCCTGCCTTCAAGAAACCTGAATCAATTTATAGAGAAACCGTATAGTTTAAAATAATGAAATACTATTAACTAGCACTAAATCAACTACTGTCAAACTAAGAACAAACTGAGTAAGAACAAATGAGGATATACTCAGAGAAGAATAAATTTAATTCAATAGTAAGTACAAATGTTTCTTTTTAAAACATTCTGGTAAAATGGATTTTAACCATATATCCTAGTCACAATTGTGTATTTTTTTGTGTATGTATTAAACCCATCAAATACAAAGGGACTGAGGGCAGAAAAATTTAAAGATTTATTACAACCTTCTGAAAAATCAAGCATGAGTTATTTTTTTAAAAAATTATTTATTTATTTATTTATTGGCTTTTTTTGGGTCACACTCGGCGAGGCTCAGGGGTTACTCCTGGCTCTGAACTCAGGAATCACTTCTGGCAGTGCTCGGGGAACCATATGGGATCCCAGGGATCAAACCTGGGTTGGCCTTGTGCATGGCAAGCACCCTATACTGTGCTGTACTATCGCTCCAGCCCTGGAGCATGAGTTACTTTTTTGTAAAAATGAAACTATATTAAAGGTGCTACCTCTTATAAAGAATCTTTTTGGTTTTTTGGAGCCACACTCCTAGTTCTGCGCTCAGGCATCACTCCTGATGGGCTGGGGGACCATCTGGGATACTGGGGATTGAAGTCAGGTTGGCTGAATACAAGGCAAGCACCCTACCTGCTTTACTATTGCTCCAGCTCCTCTTAGAAAGAATCCTAAGGTGGACATTTTTTACTAAAAAATACTATATGTATTATGAATCATCACTCTAGTTTTCAACACATTGCATGTCATTACAGCAGGCAGACTAATACGAATAAAAATTCTCATTCTGTTTTTAAGTAAAAATATTTTCTTACCTTTGAAAAGGGTCCTGCAAACCTCCATAGGCCATTAAAACCAAAACCTGTAACAAATCAAATATTAAAATAAGCCTGACAGTTTTTAAATTTTAGCAGAAATCAAGCAACTTACATAGCTGATGATATATAAAACCTGCACAAACACTGAAAACAAATTTTAGAATGAATATCAAAGTAGATTAAAATTCACTTAAAATATACTCAGGATGAATATTTATACAATGGAGTACTATGTAGCTGTTAGAAAAGATGAAGTCATGAAATTTACATACAAGTGGTACTACATGGAAAGTATCATGTTAAGCGAAATGACTCAGAAAGAAAGGGCTAGAAATAGAAAGATTGCATTCATCTGGGGAACATAAAGTAACAAAATAAGAGACTAACACCCAAGAATGGCCGAGATTAGTACCAGGAATTTTACTCCATGGCTTGGAGGCCAGCCACACATGCTAGGGGAAAAGGGAGCACAGATAGAGAAGGGAGCACCAAATAAAGGGTGTTGGAAGGATCCTCCCAGGATGGGAGAAGCATGCTGAAAGTAAACTATAGACCAAACATGACTGTCACCCATTGCCTCTTTTGCAAACCACAACACCCAATAGGAGAGAGAGAAAACAAAAGGGAATGCCCTGCCACAGAGGCAGGATGGGATGGGGGGGATGGGGGGTGGGAGGGATACTGGGATCTGTGGTGGTGGGAAATGGGCACTGGTGGAGGGATGGGTATTTGATTATTGTATAACTGAAACCCAAGCACAAAAATTTGTAAGTCTACAACTGTACCTCATGGTGTCTCACTAATAAAAATGAAAAAAATATATACCCAGGATGAAATATTTAAAGCATTGTCAAACAATTGTTGTATCGAAAAATTAAAAGACTCAGAAAATACAAACGGTCTAGATGCATGAAGTAGAGCAAAGAAAGCCTCTTCAACAAATGGGGCAGGTGAAAACTGAATAGCCACATGTGAAAATAAGAAATTTGAGCCCTAGCTTACTCACACTGTACAAAAGGAAAACACAAAAATCCATTAAAGACCTAGATATTAAACCTGTTTCTATTCAATGTATTACTTTAACCCAATCATGAACAGCTTTGAAAATGTGTATATCACATTGACTTAAAAAAAAAAGGAAATTAAAAAAATTTAAATAAACCTTTTTTTATTAACTATATTGAGGAAAACACAGGCAGAATTCTCCAGGATCTTGACCTGACAGGAGTCTTCAATGTTATGACCCCAATGACCAAGAAAACAAAAGTAGAAATAATAAATAGGATTATATTAAACCAAAGTGCAAAAGAAATGAGGACAGAAAGACACTTCACTGATTGGGAGAAATTATTCAGATATCAAAGGACTAATATCCAAAATACACATATAAAGTACTCTCAGAGCTCAGCAGAAAAAAACAACAATCCCATTGAAAAGCGGGGAGATAGTAGAAGGAGGCAGACAGTCTTCTGGAGGGTGTGGTGTCAGAACACTGTATGAATGAAACACTATCATTAATGGCACTATAAGGACTGGAGACAGTATAGCGGGTAGAGCATTTGCCTTGCATGCAGGCAACTGGGGTTCCCTGGCATCCTACACCGCCACCTGAGCATTGTCATGAGTAATTTTTGAGTACAGAGCCAGGAGTAACCCCTGAGTACTGCTGGGTATGGTCCAAAAATCCAATAAATAAATAAATAAAAGTATTATAAATTATGGTGCCTTGTATTTAAAATTTCTAGAATTCCTGGACCACACAACATTTCATATTCTCTACCTATGTATCAAGACAAGGGCTTAGTGGCTACAAAGTTAAACGTAACAATCTTCACAGGCTTTCCTCTAAGGAAACTTTTTGGATCATTTTCAGCAGATTATTCATAGCAAGCAATACAAAATGAATTATTTGGGTCCTGCTTTGGGGGCAAGTTTTGGGGGCTGGGATGGAAACATTCAAAATATGGTGGTGAGAAGGTGTAATGGTGGTGGGATTAGTGTTGGAATATAAAATGTAATAAATTATCGTGAACAACTTTATAAAAATAAAATTAAATTCAAAATTATGGTGCCTCAAATATATATATATATAATTTTTAATGTAGAAAGAATATAAATAGATAATTTCTGGGGGCTGAAGCAATAGTACATCTTACATGCAGTTGAATCCAGGTTCAATCTCAGGTACCCTATATGTCCTCTGGAACTTGCTAGGAATGATCCCCGAGTGCAGAGCCAGGAATAAGTCATGAGCACCAATGGGTGTACCCGCAAAAATTAGATTAATTCCTCCAAGGTGACATGAAGATGGCATACAGGCATATGATAAAAGTAATGACATATGGGTCTGGAGAGATAGCACAGCAGGTAGGGCGTTTGCCTTGCATGCGGCAACCCGGGTTCGATCCCCAGCATCCTATATGGTCCCCTGAGCACTGCCAGGAGTGATTCCTGAGTGCAAAGCTATGAGTAATCTCTGAGAATTGCAAGTGTGACCCAAAAAGAAAAAAAAAAGACGATATCACTGCTTATCAGGGATATGTAACTCAAAACGAGAATATCTCATGCTAGTGAGAATAGTTTATATTATAAATTCCAGAAATAATGAAGTGGTGGCGGGGATATAGCAAAAATAGGAACTCTCATCATTGCTGGTGAAATTGCTGCTTAATTCAATCTCTTGGAAAATGGTCTGAAGATATAAATATTTAATATCTTAATATGTTAGAGTTTCTATATGACCCTGCAATTCCACTTATGGGCACCTAGTCTGAGAACACAAAACAATACCTCAAAAGGATATATTCACACTTATGTTCATTGTTGCATTACTCACAATAGCCAAGACATGGAACAAAGGGAGTGCATAAGAGATCAGTAGAGAATGAAACTCTGGTACATACACACAACGGGATACTACTACTCAGTTATGACAAAGGATAAAATTTTGCAGTTTGCTGCAACTTTAATGGAACTGGAGGAAGTCATGCTAAGCAAAATGTATGAGAAAGAAGGAGATACCAGATATTTTACACTTTATGTAAAACATAAAGAAATAGAGCATCCTCATCTGACAAGGTTAATATGTAAGACAAATAAAGCACTTGTAAAACTTAACAAAAAGCAAACAACCCAATGAGAAAATGGGGAGGGCTGGAGAGTCAGTACAGTAGTTAATGCATTTGTCTTGCATGCAGTGGTCTCTGGTTAAATCCTAGGTAGTGCATATGGTCCCGAGAACATAGCCGGCAGTAATCCCTGAACACAGAATCAGAAGTAAGCCCTGAGCAACACTTGGTGGAGTCCCAAAGCAAAAACCAAAACAAAATTTAAAAATGGGAGAAAAAGAAGACATGTAGGTCAACATGTATTCACCATCATTTATCATTGGGAAAACATAAATCAAAGCAACAGTGAGTTGCTCGAGAGACAGTAGAGAGGGTAAGGTGCTAGCCGTGCATGCAGCTGGGAATCTGGGTTTGATTCCCAGAACTACATATAAGTTCCCCAATCTCTGTCAGGAATGACCCCTGAACACAGCCAGGAGTAAGGCCTGGGAACAGTAGGGCATAACCCAAAAACAAAAATGAAAGACAAACAAACAAACAAACAAAAACCCCAAACAACCCCCAACTCAAAATCATGAGGCATCACCTCACCTCACCTCACCAGTGAGGTATTTCCCTACGTGAGTGCGTGTGTGTAACCCAAAACCCCAAGAACTCTACTCCAAAAAGACATTTGCACTACTACGTTCACTGCAGCACTATTCACAATGACCAAAATCTGGAAACAACCCAAGTGTCCAAGAATAGATGACTGCATAAAGAAGCAATTGTATATATATACAATGGAATGCTACTCAGCTAAAAGACAAAGACCACACAACTTGTTGCTATATATTATTGATGGAATGGCAGGTATCATGCTGAGTGAAGTCAGCCAGGAATGGAGAGGGACATGATGAGAATGATCTGACTCATGTGTGGGATATAATGAAAACATTATAAGGAAATACTAAATGGCCAAAGGGAATCTGAGAACTGGTCTATAGAACTGAGGCTAGGAATGGGGCTGAGTGGATGGAATGCGGGGGATTCTGAAACAATGGTGGAGGAAAGCACACACTCTGGTGGTGGGTGTGGTACTGGAACTTTGTATGCATGAAGCCCTGTCGTTAAGAGAGGAGTATGGGCATGGTGCAGCAGCACCACAAGTACAAAATGAAAATGACAGTGGTAGAGAAGGTGTTGGGCACTCTGCTCCTGGGGAAGGTACATCAAAACCACAAATGTTAACATTAGTTTAACCACATTGCCTAAAATAATGAAAAAGTTAAAAATACTCAAGATTCAGGGGGCCAGATACTACAGTGGTTAGGGCCCTTGCCTTGCATGCAACTGACCTGGGTTTGATCCCTATCACCTCACACAGTCTCCCAAGCCTGTCAGGACTGATCCATAAGCACAGAACCAGGAGTAAGCCCTGAGCACTGTCCGGCGTGGACCCAAACCCCAAACAAACCAACAAAAATAATAGAGATTCAGAAAATAGCATATGTCGTTTTTATAAAAGGACAGACTATTCTTTATAGTGTTCTTTGGTGTGTGTCGTGCTGGGGTCGAACCTAGGACCTCATACATGCAAAGCAGGTGCTCCGCCACTGAGCTACACGCCCACCCCCAGCCTACAGAGGATTCCTGAATCAGTGCATTTTGTAACAGTGCATGCAATTAGTGAACAAATCAACCATCCTTCTCCTGACACACTTATTTACTTTGCAGGTAAGCTGTTTGGTACTGTGGCGGGGATTCTTCGTGGTACACAACACTCTGCACAATTCCATGAATTGGATTTAACAAATTTGGATCTTGGCACAATGACAGCAGGGTGTTGATCTTAGAGTCCAACAAATTATGCCTAAAACAAAGTCAACAGAAAAACTTCTTAAAGAACAGTAAATAAAAATATATATTAGAAAACATACATATATTTCATAGAAAAACAGTAAAAATGAAGGGAGATGAAGACTTTTTATTTTCTGGTGCTTTTCTGAAGTTTGTGTAAAGGAATGTGTGTGTCTGCTTTTTTTTGTCTTTGTCTTTTTGCATTCTGCTCATCAGAGGGAACCTGGTGGATATCAATTAGTATGGTCATACAACCATGTTTATATGGTGTCTGTGTGCTCAAAACAAGGCTCACTGTCTGCCACTCAGCATGCCTTTCTGCTGGTGGTTAATTCTGTTTAATAAGAAATTCTTACTGGGGGCTGGAGTGATAGCACAGCGGGTAAGGTGTTTGCCTTGCACGCAGCCAACGTGACCGACACAGGTTCGATACCCAGCACCCCATATGGTCCCCTGAGCACCGCCAGGAGCAATTCCTGAGTGCATGAGCCAGGAGTAACCCCTGAGCATCGCCGGGTGTGACCCAAAAAGCAAAAAAAAAAAAAAGAAATTCTTACTGAATAAGAAATCATACTGAGTAAAAATCAAACTGAATAAAATCATACTAAGAAAAGCAAAATTACTTTAAAGGAGGTAATGATATACACTTTAATTCAAAGTTAAAAGCAAATAACTATTTTTAATCTAGCTGTGCTCCATTAATTTAAAGTAACTCGAGAATCAATTATCTAAAATTCTGAAACTTTTTTTGGGGGGTGGTGGTTGGAAAGGAGGTGTTCAGGGTTACTCCTGGCTCTACACTCAGGAATTACTCTTGGCGGGCTCAGGGGACCTTATGAAATACCAGAGATCAAACCTGGGTCAGCAGTGTGCAAGGCAAATGTCCTGCCCACTTGCTGTACTATCTCTCTGGCCTTCAAATTCTGAAACTTTCAAATCAGATTAACAAAAAAGGAAACAACGATATAATTAAAAGCACTATGTTATTATATAGATTTGAAAACTTTGAAGCTACTATGATTTAAGCCCTTAAGTGAGAATAAAAATCATTTCCCACAAAGGTTAATTTTGTGTTATCACTGCATAGAAATACAAACGTTCTACTAAAAAGAATAAGAGGAAAGAAATTATAATAGGTACATGATTTAAATATATCAGTTGAACAGTTTGCTAAAAAGTGATGAAATGAAAAGTAATTATTATGATGAACTTCTTAATCTGTAAGCAAAAAGTTTGATTTCCCCCCCTAATAGGTCAAAACCAGTCTCCATACACATAAGCCCACTATCTGTAGTCACACTCCAGATTCCCCTTTTTACAACCAGAGTATCCCAGGTGATACTTTTCCAAGACCATTATACAGCATTTGATTTCATGAAAAATACAGTACTTGTTAAAAACAAAAGAAGATACTTACACAACAGGAAAAACTTTGGGGAAAACAACACTGGCTTCTGCCAAGTATTCATAAAGAATTCGCTGATCAAATTCATCTGTGGTATATTTTACCAGTGTAGCCTGACAAGATGCAAAAACAAACAAACAAACAAAATTTTTACTTAGTGGCTAAATAAGTAAATGTCTTGGTAAGAAGGAGTAGATGGCTTTCCTTTTGTGTTTTCAATATTTAAGGATTTCCTAAGAGTGAACTGGAGGGCCAGAGAGTGGGTAGGGTATTTGTTTGCATGCAATCGACCCAGGATCCCATATGATCCCCTGAGCACCACCAAGAGAGATCCTTAAGCACGCAGAGCTAGGAGTAAGCCCTGAACAGCACTGGGTGTAGCCCCCAAACAAAACAAAAACAAAAACAGGACTGGAATGAAGCACACACACACACACACACACACACACACACACACACACACACACAACCCAACAACAACAAAAACTCTCAAGAAGCAACAAAAACAAAAGTGGATTGGAATGAAACACAAACACACACACACACACACACCACCACCACCACCACCAACAACAACAACAACAAAAAACTCTCAAGAAGCAACAAAACCAAAAGTGGACTGGAATGAAACACACACACACACACACACCCAACAACAACCCAAACAAAAACAAAAAACTTTCAAGAAGCAAGAAACCTTACTAGAACAGTAAGAAGAAGTGCTTGGATCTTCGGATCAGTAAGTACTTCTTCATCCAAAAGAACATTTGATTCAGACACTGAAACTTTACGTAAATGTGGGTGCTGTTGTGATGAGGAAATCCTCGGAGTTTCTGCAGTGAGATATAGACTAACTTATCATCTGTATTAACATTTCATTAATAGCATTTGATTTATTTATTATTATTTTAAGATTTTATTATTGAATCACTGTGAGACAGATCCTTACAAAGATGTTAATGATTAGGTTTTAGTTATGCAGTGTCATTAATAGCATGTTAATATTCAACAGCTTTTTAGCTGAGATTTAAAATATCAAAACAAACATGTAGAATTATAATTTGTCTATACAAAAATTTTTGGCTAACTACCTACAATACTATACACTATACATGATTTTCCCCATAGATTTAAGGATAACTCATTTTAAGGACTATAAAGCTTATCTTTTGAAAAAACAGTAAATGTTTCTGTATTTCACTCCAATGATTCTAAAGGCTAATAAGCAAATAATAACTCAAATGTACTCCCCATCATAATTTCAAAGATGTATGTAAATTATTGTTTCTCACCCATTTCATAGTCAGTTTCTGCTACTCTTCTCATTTTGGGGGGTGTTGTGATCCCTGATTCCATTTCTTGCCTTTTAGGAGCCTTTGTGTCTGATATCAAGTGATCAAAACTTTTCCTGGTTCCTATAAATAAAAATTACAAAATATGGAAATTCATTAAGCACAAAGTCTGTGAATAGGTATATACTAAAAAGAAAATATACAAATTTATTCATTAACTTAAGGATTCCAAGAAAGCTCAAACATCTCTTGGGAAGAGTTTCTCTCCTATAATCTCCATTTTCTTAATGCATTTGATCCCTTAACTTTCCATTTCAGGACAAGTGTGATCCAAAATAAATTGAGATTACTATTTGCAAGACTAGAGGGAAACCAAACTCCACCAACAAGTACAAGATTTGATCACAATTGAAGGGTATGCGCTGTCCAATAGCAATAATAAACTATATGAACTATCTTTTTAATACTTAAGTAATCTTGATGATGCCAATAATCAACCTTTATTATTAAGAGGAATTCCTAAACGCAGGCTAAATTAAAGGTTGTTTGGGGTGGGGATTAGGGTTTGGAGCCACACCTGATGGTGCTCAAGGCTTATTCCTGACTCTTCACTCAGGAATCACTCCTGACAGGCTCATGAGACCAAATGGGTGCCAGAGATTGAACTGGCTGGGCCATGTACAAGGCAAACATTTTTATCTGCTGTCCTATTGCTCTGGTCCCAGAAGCTTGATTTTTAAATTTTTGTTTTGGGACCACATCTAGCAGTACTCGGGGCTTAGTCTTGGCTCTGCACTGAGGGATAACTCCCTGTGGGCTCCAGGACCATATATGTTGCCGGGGACTGAACCCAAGTTAGCCACATGCAAGGCAAGTGCCCTGCTCCCTGTACTATCACTCTGGCTTCAACACTGTCATTTTTAAAAGTAGAAGTAAAGCCAATATAACTAGAGAAACAGTTAACATCAGACTTTCATTTAAATTTTTGGGTCTGGGAAAGTTAGCTCAGTGGTAGAGTGAATCTTGCATATTTCGGCCAGGCTCAAGGCTCAATCCCTGGTGTTCTCTTTCCCTAGTCACCCCCTTAAATCTATCTTCAAGAAGCCCTTGAACTTCCTAAAAACCAATTAGTGCTTTCCATACTACATTAAATGAGGGTACCATTTTCTACTTCTAGTTTTCCTATCTTTCTCACTTTTTTATTCATTCTGCATTCTTCCTGGAGATCTTTTACTGTCATGGCTTCAACTCTGAATAAGTTGATCAATTCTAAATCTGTGATGTCTTTCTTTGAACTTGATATATCTTTTATTTATACCATATTTGCTTCTAGAATCCTGGACATACAAATGTAATAGCAACCAACCTAAATTTAGTATCTAGTATAAATATATAACTTTCGGTCTTAAGACTGGAATGACTATCCAGATTTTAAAACTAGAAACTCCTGCCATCCTTTAAAACCTCCTTTCCTACCTGCCCCAAACTGTTTTGTCCACTCTACTTCAGAAATCTAGCTGAACCTCTCCTTTCTCCTATTTCTCCTCCCAGTAGTATTGACCTCACTTTGACCAACTTTCACTTATATTTCTGTATCTATCTTTTAAATGACTCCCTTGCCAAAAACTCCTTATTCCTCCACACTGTTGTCAGAAAATCTTTGCTAAAAATAAAATTTAATAATGTCTCTTCTCTACTTAAAGATCTCTGTTGGACTTTTGTAAAAGTTAAATCTCTTACCAGGACACAGAAAAGTTTTACACATTTAGCTCTAACTTCTTGCAATCTCATTTTCTACCCAATGGCCTCTCCAGACTTTTCTTTATATACAATATCCTTCTTCTCACGAATACATGCCTTCCTTAGCCTGTGTCTACTTAAGAAACAGGCATTAAAATTTAAAGTCCCAGTTCAAATATTATTTCCTCTGTGTAGCTTTCCCTATTTTTTCTAGAATGTTTCTCCTCACGAAGATATATTACTTCAAAAGCACCTCTGGGGGTTGTTATAATCAGATGATTTTAAGTCCTGGTTACTAAGCTATAAGCAATTCAAGGATGAAACTTATATTTTTGATCTAGCTCATGAGTTAAAATTAATTTAGCACTGCGTTTTTCTTTAAAGTTAATTTTTCATTTATAACTTCCTTCAAATGGAAACCCAGAATTACAAAACACAAAGTACCCTGGAAAAAACTAGGCCAAAATATAAATGGTAAGAAAGTCAAACAAAAGGCGCCGACCTATGCTACCAGTAACATTTGTGATTTCAATTTCTTTCCTGATTTACTGGGAGGTTATTTCACAATTGATTGTTCATGGATATTCTTGTGAATATAAATAGCTTCCCAACACCTAAAATATGCGATATAAATAACTGAAACCCACTGAGCTATTCAAGAGTCTAGTAACTGAATTACGGGGTACCAGTGCATTTCAAAAGGGAGTATAACTTTCGTTATATTGTGTAAGTCTGCCTCTGTATTTACTGTACGGCAAGATGGAATCTGTGGGTCCTTTTACTACTTACGGTTTGTGAAAAGGGAAAGAGCTTCAACATTTTAAGCATCCTCCTCATTGACAGATGTTGATCTGTAACTGAGCAACCTGAACTTTCAAGAACTATCTTTTGATAGTAATCCAAGAACACAGCAATAAGAAAATCTTACCTTTTTGTCTTTTCAAAGAAAAGATGATAAATGGTATTGTTTGTAGCTTTATGCCAAACTGATGTATTTTTCTCTCAATTGACAATTTTGGGAAGTATGCATCATTAAAGATCCTGAATCTAAGTGCAACAAGACACATCTTTCCTATTGGGTATCTAATGTCTACTCCCATTTCCCTGCTCCTTGGCTAATACAGAACAAACCAAGGAGAGTCAGAGGATCAGTCTATGATTAGAATAAAACTGTTCAAAATACCATTTCCATTCCTCTATCTTAATCAACATGGCATAGCTGATATAGCATAGTGTCACTTATAATTTGCATTGAAAACTGCTACATCAAAAAGAGGGATTTTTTTTTTGGATAATCTTAAGCAACTTCAATTAATTTCCAAGAGTGACAGTATCTGACCATTTAAAAAAGTAATTCTAAAAAGTTCAACATAATTTAGATAAACTAACCAAGCAACTTCTTAGTGTTGGCCTGAGAAGGCTGCCCCATGTCCAAACTCATGGATTTCCTGGCTCGGGGACTGGTCTGGCCCACATTTGGATAGGTGGCTGTAAGGTACCCTTCAGAACCTTTGGGAGAGGACCATGGCTGAGTCTCCTTTAGTGTCCTGAGAGATTTAAACAATTGAAAAGAATTAATTAATGTGGTGACAAATATAACCATTGTTTACCCCTCCCAAGTGGTTGTCCTATTTTCCATTGACAGTAGTCAGTTATTTGAATCTGTACACAGTGTAAGGTACAAACTTACACTATGTACAGATACATAGTGTATTTTGCATATAAACTCTGTTTTCTATCAACCGTTTTGGCATGGTATCTGATACATAGCAGGTACTCATGGAATGCTGAACAGAACTATTCCGAATATTTTTTTGAGGGGAGGGTATACCCGGCAATGTTCAGGGGTTACTCCTGGCTCTTCACACAGGAATCACTCCTGGTAGTGCTTGGGGGACCATATGGAATGCCAGGGATTGAACCTGGGTCAGCAAGTGCTTTACCCACTGTACTATCTCTCTGGTCCCACACACACTGATTTTTTTTTTTTAAATCAGGGAAAATAAGAACTAAACAGGCAATTATAGTTTTGGTTTAAAAGCCAAGAAAATCAACTCAACTTAGATTTTAACCGGAGAGTACAGGCAAACTCACTTTCTTTGTTCCCTAATATAATGGGAGCATTTCAAAGAAATTTAATCACAGGAATGAAGAAAAGATTTTAGAAAACCAAGTAGGCCTAGAAAGTTTGTGCATATACTGTTAAAATATCAGTGGGACATTGTTGGGGGCTTTTAATTTTAAAAATGAGGATGCTGATAAATCGAATGATACTGCTCTATAAATACAAGATCACTCAACCATCAAGACTATACCTAAAAACCTAAAGATATTTTTACAGGAAAAATATCTCCAAACTGTTATTTTCATGCAATTTCTCCACAATGAGCGAAAAATATAATACCCCAAACCAAAAGGCATAATTTGATTATGTAATCTGTATTTTGCTGCATATAATTTTAATAAGTTTGGTGTGATATGTTTTTTTCAAATCTATATGGCTTACTTCTCTATCATGAAGCATGTAATGTGACATATTTTATGTTGGTTTTCATCAAGACCCTCCCCTGCAACCCAGATTATTAGGATAAACTCTTTTCATTATTCACTGGTTTGTGTTTAAAAGAGGAAAACTAATGTTAACAGTAGCATATTAGAAGAACAAGTATGCCACTACTGACCCATATAAGATAATGTACACTTATGAAGTGAATACTGAATTTCATGTTATTCCAATATTATCTTTACTTTTTGGTCATGCTCAGGATTTCTTGGACTGGCAGTGTTTGGAGAACATTAGGGGGTAAACCTAGACTGGGGACATGTGGTGCCAGAGACTGAACTCAGGGCCTCTCACCTGCTAGGCATGTGCCCTACCACTTGAGCTCTACCACCCAGCCCCTAGATAGTTTTAAGATTCTACTATTACCTTTTGGATTACTCTGCTGGCTAACTCTATTAATATGGAAGACAAGTCCTGACCATAACTGTGGGAGAAAATTTCATTTACCTATAGCTAGGGTTGCCATGATGAATAGGGTATGTATCCATTGGAACACTTTCCATTGAGATATCAGTGAGAAGAAGAGACTTTCTATGTTTTAGGCTACAGCGACTTCGAACCTCCTCAGACACTGTGAGTAAAGCTAAAAGGAAAAATGGCATATTAAAAAATGAAACAAATCACTGTGTCACTTAAAATAGGATACATTTTAATAATCTTTGAAGAGGAAAAGAGTTATTAAATATGCATATAGAGAGCCCTATTATATGAAATTTAAAGATACAAAACATTTAGAATTCCTTGCTCTGCGAGAAGAGCACTCCACCCACACCCAGCTTCCTCTGGCATACAAACCGCCCAGCTCCATGACTAATCTCAGAGACACCATGATGAAGCATCCGTTTCCTGGCTCCTGAAATGCACAGCCATGTATGTGAAATATGGATATCTCCAAATTTCACAGCACTGACAGCCCAGTAGGAGCACAGCAATTTAGACAGGAAAAGTTGTGCAGGGTGAAAACAATAGCACAGAAGGCTCAACTAGTACCTAATAGCTCGGTAAAACCTCATACAATGAGTTCAGTAACACCAATGTGAGATAGATGTTGTAACAAGAAATATGATGTAAATTTGTTTGTGTTTGCTAAGGAGGCAGGCTTGTAGTGTGGGTGGGAAACTAAGGACACTGGTGGAGGAAAGGTCAGAATAGTGGCATTGGTGTTGGAAACATTACCTGAAACAACTATATTATGAATAACTTTGTAAATCACGGTGTTTAAATAAAGCTTCAAACTTCAAAAAAAAAAAAGAAAAATCATTTGGACAGACTTTCTATCTTAAAAGAACTTAGGACTTCTTTCAGAAGACTGCATCAAAATATGAAATACACAAAAAGTTAATTATACCCTTGTATTTGCTGCGTGCTTTAATAAATATCTAATTCAACCAACACAAAAAGTTATCAAGGGATGTACTATAAAGTTGACTTTTTTTTTTTTTTTTTTTTGCTTTTTGGATCACACCTGGAGATGTACAGGGGTTACTCCTGGCTCTGCACTCAGGAATTACTCCTGGCGGTGCTCGGGGGAACATATGGAATGCTGGGAATCGAACCTGGGTCAGCCACATGCAAGGCAAATGGCCCTACCCGCTGTGCTATTGCTCCAGCCTATAAAGTTGATTTCTTAGATAAGGAAAAATAGTCTGAGCCTTTAAGGATTTGCTAATGGCTAAATGATTCAAACAAAAAAGTTGCCATGAACCAAAGTCTGCTATATTGGAAATCAGCATATTTCATCAAGAACTATTTTCAAGTATTCTGTTATATGCATATATTGTGATGAGTGGAGAAATTCAAATCAGGTCGGATGAACAAGTAGGGGGAGTTTAATGAAATGGTAGGGATGGGACAAGCAGCAGAAAAAAACAGTAACAGGACAGCATATTAAGGAGATAGCAAGTAGATTGATTAGGTTAAAATAGTCCATCTATTTAAATAAAAACAAAGCTCATAAAATTTAGAGAAAGGATGACAGAAAGAGGGTTGCTTAAAAGTCCAGACTGCAAGGCTGAGAGGCATTTAGATTTTATGACAGACAAATGGGAGCCACCATCTTTGAATCAAAGGTAACAAAAGGAACACATTACAGATCATAATGCAAAATTCTTTCATAAGGAGGATTTTGGGCAAATATTCTACCATGACAGGACAGGATCTTAAACGCTATACCACCAAGTAATCAGTTGAAGGAATCAGACTCAAGCAATAAGACTCATAAATAGTTGTATCTTTTTGGTATTCCTTAGGTACAAATGCGGTTAAGATTGATTTAGTCAGTTTTGTATTTTTACCTGCTAAGTAAGCCACGCTCTGTGTATTCACTTCAAATTTGTCACAATTTCTATGTTTGTTAACCAGAGTTAGTAGTGTATGCAAAATTCTGACTGTTCTTGCAACAATGGCAGGTGAAGGATGCCTGTACCCTACAAAAAAGAAAGAAGTTAATTTTTCTTTCATCAAATATTTGTGGATTTCTTATTCTGCAGATATTCCATTAACTCGTGTAGGAAAGATTAAAAAAAAACACCCAGACAAACCAACTATATATTGGAATTCACCTTAAGATACCCTTTGGAAATCTGGCTTTATTGCTTAAAATTTATTTTGTTTAAAAAAATAGTAACAGAAGTGCTAACCTCACAGCCCAAAGAATAAAATTGATTAGAAGGCAAATTCAATTATGGTGTAGCTATTAATCACTAATGGAGACATTACTGGGCCCGCTCGAGCAAATCGATGAACAACGGGAGGACAGTGACAGTGACAGTGACTATCCTATTTTATTTTTTGGTTTTGGGCCACACTTGGCAATGCTCTGGGGTCACTCCTGGCTCTGCACTCGGGGATCACTCAGGCTGTGCACAGGGGAACACATATGATGCTGGATGTTGAACAGGGATTGGATGCATACAAGACAAGTGCCCTTCCCATTATGCTATCGTTCCGGCCCCTATTCAATCTCTTTTTAATGCTAAATTAATTTTATGTATTCATTCATATTTTTTTCCTTCCTTCTTATTCCCCCTTCATTTGTTGCTGCTGCTGCGACGACCTGAGGCTACACACCTGCCCAGCTGGGATGTGTTCTGGGACCACACATTAGATTTGCAGCACTTGCACACTTGGCTAAGTTTATAGTCCATGTAGCTGCAGTCCTCTCCAAGGTCACCTTCTCAGGTGAGGTACAAAAATTGTGGTGGTCGTGTGTTGCCATGGATTGCTGCAGTGCTCACAAATATATTCACCAAAGGTCACATCTCCTGGCCATGGCATTCACACATCTTTTTGGATGGAGATTCCAGGTTACTCACCCCTTTTTTTGTGGTGCTTACGCATGCCTAGCTGCAGCGCAGCTGGAAATGTATTTTGGCATTACACACACAGACACACACAATCCCCCCCCCCCCCCCCAAAAAAAAAACCCAGGCTCAAATAACAAACAATGCTGTCAGGATTACACTCAGCACATGTGGAGCACCAAGGATTTGAATTAATAAACTAATCTTGTTAACTGGTGTCTCTGGCCATGACTGTTTCATGTTAATAATTAAAGTGAACACACAATGAAATTGGCAGTGAGGAGTATAGCCGGTCAGAAAGTAAGTGAGGAAGCTCTGAGTAATAACTAAAATCACTGCTAATCGCAATATAGAAATCTGGAAGGGTGAGGGTGGGGTACCAGAAAGGTGAAGTTGTATGATGTGTAATAATATCAATAAAAATTATAAACTGAAGAAAATCTGTGATGAATTTTTTTGGGGGGGCCACACCTGGTGTGCTCAGGCCTTACTCCTGGTTCTACACTCACGGTCACTCCTGGCATGCTTGGGGGTCCATATGGGGGTATTGGGGATCAAACCTAAGTGGCTACGTACTTGCAAGGAAAATGCCCTGCTTGATGTAAAATTTCTTCAGTCCCTGTGATGAATTCTTTAAGACATCATTTTCCATATAAATTAATATAATATCTACATAACATTTATTTTAAAGGTTGTAGTTTTATAATAAAAAGAAAATTATGCAATATAATTAATAGCTATAAGGAAGTTCAGTACTTACAAATCTTTTCTTCCCCCACATTTTTTTTTGTTTTTGGACGACACCTGGGCAATCTCAGGGGTTACTTCTGGCTCAGCACTCAGGTATTACTCCTGGCAGTAATAACTTTGCACTAGTTAAAGTGCAAAGTTTAACTTTGCATTGGGGATACTGGATTGAACCTGGATCTGCTATGTGCAAGGTAGACACCCTACATGCTATACTATCACTCTGTACCCCACCAGAACTTAGGAATGATACAAGAATCAACCATTGCTTTTTAAAGATACTTGATGTGGAAATCAGACTATACTTATTAAACAAAACATAACTCACCAAGACAGATATAGTTTGTAGCCAATTTATTCCTTGTATTTCTAGATTCTCAAGAGTATTTCATGAAAATATTCCAATACAAGACAATATCTACCTTTTGTGTGTGTGTGCCACACCCGGCAACACATGGGGGTTACTCCTGGCTCATGCACTCAGGAATTACTCCTGGTGGTGCTTGGGGGACCATACGGGATGCTGGGAATTAAAGCCAGGTTGGCCGCGTGCAAGGTAAATTCCCTACCCGCTGTGCTATATCACTCCAGCTCCAAGACATCTACCTTTTAAGAGGTGTCCAACTAGTGCAAAGTTAAAATTAGAGTTGAAATTGAGTCCAACAAAATGATCCATTTGCTTGCAGTGCCATTCCAGAGGATTTCGGATTGCCATAAATACTTCCTCCGGACTCTATCAAATATAATGAGATGGTTAATTTGGGAGAGGAGATGGTAGAGCGGTTGGTGATAGTTCACATAAAGCTTTCCTGAGATGATCACTTACTGTTTAAAAGCTAATATAAGATATATATTCATTCCAGTTGTAGTTATTTTTAGACAACTACAGAAAACCAAAGAAGAATATTTAAGCTATAAAAAATACAGTAATGTAAGGGAGAAATACATAATGTCCAGAGATGTGACTTAGCATATAACACTTACCTTTAATGTGTGTAGCCCTTGTTCCTTGATCCATGGCATCACAAACACACACACACACACACACACACACACACACACAACCCCAAAGCATAAATGATAAAGATGATGGAAGATTACATTGCTTTCATTTAAAATGCAAAATAAGACCTTGGACGGTAAGCTCAGTGGTTGAATATTTATGAGGTCCTTTTTATCCAAAAAGATAAAATTTATATTCTGGTCTTTTTTATTGTTTTGGATGTTGGGATTGAATGTAGGGCTTCACTGCCATGGCAATGTTTTAAAAGTTGTAAACATTGCTGCTTTAAAAAAATTTGTTTTTGGACCATACCCAGCAGTGCTCAGGACTTATTCCTGGCTCTGTGCACAGGGGTCACTCCTGGAGGAACTCGGGGGATGATATGGGTGCTGGGGTTCGAACCTTGGTCGTCACATGCAAGCCAAGTGCTCTAGCTGCTGTACTATCTCTGGCTCCATGCACTGTCGTTTTAAAATAAGGTCATTTATTAAATTGTAGCTGATATTTTGTGTATTGTTGGTGACCAAACATTTAGAGACCAAAAGGTTCAGATTTACTGAGTGCCTGCAGTATATAATTTATGGTACATTACTGTATTGAAATTCTTTTTTAATTTTTCAGGGGGCATTACTAGCAGTGTGGTACCTGGGGCCATGCAGTACTATGGATGGAAACTCAGGGCCTCACCCATGCAAGTTAGGCTCCAGTCTTTTAAGCTATTTTCCTGGTTTTTACAAAAATACATATACATGCAGGCTACATTCGGTGATGCTCAGGGGTTACTACTGGCTCTGCACTCAGGAATTGCTCTTGGAGGTGCTCAGGGAATCATCTGGGATGATGGGGATAAAACACTCGTGTTGGCTGAGTGCAAAGTAACTGCCTTACCTCCTGTAATTATTTTGTGGCCCCTATACTAAAAACTTTTAAAGCAATTCTATGCAGTTGTAATTAACTCTATTTCACAGTCACTCATTGTTTGATAAATAAAATCATTTTACAAATACTTATCAAATAATTACTATGTATCTTTGACGTAACAGGTGTAGTTCTTGATTCTGAAAATTTATCAGGGAACTAAAAACAAAAATTTACCTACTTGGGTAAGTTTCGGGCTGGAGCGATAGCACAGCGGGTAGGGTGTTTGCCTTGCACCCAGCCAACATGGCTGACCTGAGTTCGATTCCTTCGCCCCTCTCGGAGAGCTCGACAAGCTACTGATAGTATCTCGCCCGCACGGCAAAGCCTGGCAAGCTACCCAGCACGTATTCAATATGCCAAACACAGTAACAAGTCTCACAATGTTACTGGGCCTGCTCGAACAAATCGATGAACAACAGGAGGACCATGATGGTGACCGTGATGGGTAAGTTTTACATTTTAAAGAGGGATAATAAGGATTTTATTTGTTTTGGGGCCACACCCAGCTGTGCTCAGGGCTCACTCCTGGCTCTGCACTCAGGGATCACTGCTGGCAGGTATGTGGTATCAGGGAATAGAACTCGAGTCAGCCACATACAAGGCAAACGCTCTACTCACTGTATTATCACTCTAGCCCTGAAAATGAGGATCTTGAAACTCAAAAATGCTATGTAACTTGCCCAGGATAATTACAGAATTATGGGAGGTGGGTAAGGCTCAGGAATTTGAATTTTTTAAAAAAGAAACTCAGTGATTTTCTTTTGCAGAGTTTTTTGAAAAAAAAAAAAAAGAACTAAAGATGTTCATTCTTTGGTTTGTCAAGATTTGTACCTTTAAGGGAACAAAAATTAAAGTTCTTTCCCCAGCAAATTTCAATTACACATTACACTGTCCTCCCATTGTTGATCGATTTGCTCGAGTGGGCCCAGTAACGTCTCCATTTTTTGAGACTTGTTGTTAGTGTGTTTGGCATATCAATTACATGTAGGCGAGATACTCTCGGTAGCTTGCCAGGCTGTCTGAGAGGGGCGGAGGAATTGAACTCGGGTCGGCCATGTTGGCTGCGTGCAAGGCAGAATGCCCTACCGCTGTGCTATTGCTATCTGGTAGAATGAACAAATAATATTTGGGGGATGGAGTAATAGTACTGTGAGTAGGGCATTTGCCTTGCATGCAGCTGACTTGGATTCAAACCCCACCATTCCCTTTGGTCCCATGAATACCACCAGGAGTAATTCCTGAGTGCAGAGCCAGGAGTAACCCCTGAGCATTGTTGGGTGTGACCCCAAAAGGCAAACAAATAACAAAAAAAACCCCAAATAATGTTTGGTTTGGCTAGAACGATAGCAGAGCTGGTAGGGCATTTGCCTTGCATGTGGCCGACCCGGGTTCAATTTCTCCGTTCCTCTCAGAGAGCCCAGCAAGCTACCAAGTATCCCACCCGCATGGCAGAGCCTGGCAAGCTACCTGTGGCGTATTTGATATGCCAAACAGTAACAACAAGTCTCAACAATGGAGACATTACTGGTGCTTGATCGAGCAAATCAATGAACAACAGACAGTGACAGTGAATTTTATTTTTTTTGGGGGGAAGAGGGGTGCACATTCAATGGTGCTTAGGACTTATTCCTTGTGGTGCTCAGAACTGAACCTGGATCAGTCACATGTAAGGCAAGAATCCTACCTGCTGTACCCCTCTGGTCCCTGACAAACAAGGTATCAGAGCAGGGATTTTCATAGTTAAAAACTATGCTCCTATTCTCTTTTCTTTCTACCTCAGCTCTATTAATTTCACTTTGAGGAAATCTCTATACCCTTAGGTACCTATACTTTAGTACTTAAATTCCTCTTTTCTCCTAGATTCCATTTTTCTTCAAAGACAAAAATAAACATAATTTCATACTGTTATATTACTTCTCTTTACTGTGTGAAACAAAATTCAACCTCGGTAAGGGTTAATAAATGTTAAGGAAGTGCTAATGGCATATTTTAGGTCTGATTAGGCAAAATAAAAATGAATACAATTAAGTATCCAAAAGTTTCCTTTAGACTCTCCAACCTCCTTATCTGTTTCTTATTATTTCTATATTTTCATTAGTGCTAGTACTCAATACAAATAAACCTATATTTATATAATACCTAATATCTAAAATTTATATATGAATTGTTGAGTGGAGGATGTTAATCTTTATTTTTGGGTTATAAAAAAATTACAGGTGCTGGAGATATAGTACAGCAGATAGGGCGTTCGCCTTGCACTTGACCTACTCAGGTTCAATCCCTGGCATCCTATATGGTCTCCAAAGCTTCACAAAGAGTAATTCCTCAGTACAGAGCTGGGAGTATGCCCTGAGCATCTCTGCATGTGACCCAAAAACAAAACAAAAAACAAAAAATAATTACAAATAATGAGTGTGTAGTACTTGTATAGTGCCTGACATGGTGGTTAATGTTGCCCTTAAAGTTATTATTTATTGCTATTTAGGTTATTAGTATGGGTAAATACTGTTTCCTGCTATTTCAATATAGAAAATACACACTAATGTTTACATTTTTTGTCAATTGGTGAGTAAAGATAAAATGCATATTAGAAATTCACATTTATTTATGAATCTCTTCTGATTTAAAAGAGACAATAAAAAGCAGAGAGAGAGAGGGAGAGAAAGAGGGAGTGAGAAAGAGAGGGAAGGAGAGAGGGAGAGATGGAGAGAGAGAGAGGGTGAGTGACAGGGAGGAGAGAATGCTGGGATCAAATTGCCTCCTGAGCACTGAGCTAGGAGTAAGCCCTGACAATTACCTGGTGTAGCCCCCAAACAATACAAAACAAAACATGAGAGGAGATATTCCTAAACAAAGAAACGCCATTGCTTACCTTATCATTGAATATCCGAAGACTGTCTAGGGTGTGCAGGTTTTGTTCGAGAAGTGCAGTGCCTGCTGAATACAAGTTGACCTCATCCAGCTGCAGCACAGCCACAGCTACCCAAAAGAGGGCTTTGTGGAGAGGGGAGTCCTGACAAGGGAGATGAGTTTCAAGTTAGTAAGACGAACAGCAAAGCGTTTCCTTCTACTGCACTATAACAAGAAACATATTGTACTTCAATTTATGCAAGTTTTCTTGCAAGGGGAAGGTAAATAGACCAGCAAGTTTTATTCTAATCCATGTGTTACTAAAGGCACTATTAGCCTGGGACAGGGAGACGGGGGGGGGGGGGGGGGGGGCGGATAGCTCAGGATTTGAATGCATGTCTTACAGACATAAGAACCCAAGTTCAACTCCCTGCAAATAATGGTCTTCCAAGCATAATTGGAGGACCTCAGCACCACCAGGCCTAACAGTGCTGTATTGCTCAGGCCTATTATTGAGCCTTTTCAGCCCAGTTGCTTGAGAAATGGCACAAGAGGTCCCTGGATCCTCTGAGCACTGCTTGTAAGGCCTCTGAGCATCCCTCCTATCCCCTAAGAAGAAACTATTAGCCAACCTGAGAAGCTTAGCACCCAGCAATTTTTTTATTCTTTATTTTTTACCAAAGTAATCTTCTTTGCTTCTGCTTATTGCTAGTGGCAATATTATATATATATATATTTTTTTTCTTTTTTGGGTCACACCCGGTGATGCACAGTGGTTAGTCCGGCTCTGCACTCAGGAATTACCCCTGGCAGTGCTCAGGGGACGATATGGGATGCTGGGAATCGAACCCGAGTCGGCCACATGCAAGGCAAATGTCCTACCTGCTGTGCTATTACTCTAGCCCCACAATATTCTATGTTTTTAATGTAGATTTTAAACATAAATTCCTTTAACCTCTGTTTTCCTACTACTCTAGTCTATTAAGACTAAATCTAATCTTCTCTGCATACTCCCTGGTCTAATCTTCAATCCACTATGCATACTACCTATGAATGAGTCAAGTATTGCTTTTATTACACTGCTTGGAAATATATATATATACATACATTTCACAAAAAATTTTCTGAAGGATGTTGACTGTAATATTACTTGTATTTAGTTGTCTACCCTTCCCCCAAAGGCTGCCATCATTTTGCAGTAATGTTTATTGAAAATAGCTCATTACAAACAAAATAAATTTACGTATAAAGTCTCTGCAATGCAAAAGATTTTTTTCCAAGAGGCTGGGGAGGACCAAGCTAACCAAGTCTGTGTGGCTGCAGGAAGTAGGGGTGCATTTAGTTTTTATAAACCTTCCCACTCATTCTCTGACATTTCTCCATTTCAACTTAAATGGTCTACCCATCACCCCTTCATTGTCTCAGCATTCTTTTTAAAATTATTATTTTGGTGGAGGATGGCTGGGCCACACTTGGCTGTGTTCAGAGCTAATGTATGGATCTGTGCTCAGGGATCACTACTGGAAGTGTTCAGGGAACCACGTGTGGTGTTGAGAATTGAAACCAGGTGGGCAGCATGAAAGCCAAGCAGTACCTTGCTATGAACTCAGGGATCACGACTGGGCAGGTCTCAAAGGAACATGGTGCTGGGGATTGAACCCAGGTAGGCTGCGTGCAAGACAACTACCTTAACTCTTGTACTGTCTCTCCCCTTTGCTCCCAGCATTCTTTATAATCCTGCTACTGTTAAGTTTGCTGCTCAAGAATCTCTTCCTGTCTCTATCCTAAAATCCATTCCATCTCTTTAGCTTTACTTTAGACTCTAACCTTTTCTACTTTGCATACAAGTCAAATGCCCTACCAGCTTTACTATCGCACTGGCCCCAATTTCTTATCATTCTTTTTTTTTTTAAATGTAGGAGTACTGCTATTTATTCAGTTACTGATTAGCTGATTGAATTGGGCATGAACTCTACCTTACTTTTTTTTCCATAATTTATTTTTTCTTCTTATATTTCTTTACTGAATCACTGTGGGAAAAGTTACAAAGGTTTCAGGTTTAACTCTTGGTCATACAATGATCAAACACCTTTCCCTTCACCAGTACTCATTTTTCACCACCAAGAACCCCAATAAACCCCTTTCCCACTCCTCCCAATGCCTGTGAGGCAGATGATTTCCACTTAACTCTTCTCTACATTGATTACATTCATTATTTCGACAAAAGATGCACCATTATTGTTTAGAATTCCCCCCCACCCCGCCACAATCAAAATTACTGAAAAGACATTGTGAAATACTTTGTTTTCTATAGCTGGTTATGAGAATCATGTAATCTCGGGTGGCCACAACAGCGGCCTTGCAATTTTGGATTTCTGCAAAGAGCCAGATAATTACAAAATTGGTTTCTGTGTGTCTGGTGTTATGGCTGTGCCGGAGAGCTGCTCGTGGGAGGCAAATTGTGACCTTGGTAGGGCGTGAAGGATGAGCCAGTACCGCCCCCCTTCCCATGAGACTGCAGTTGCCCCATAACCACTGGCTCATATCTGGTTTTCCTATAAGCTCTGAGGCGGTGGCCTCCTTGCTGCTGGGAGGGAAAAGGGCAGAAGGGAGCAACACCCTTTCCCTCCAAGGGAGGCATGGTGCCGTAGTTTAACGCATGGTCCATTCACTTTTCTGCTGCAAGCTGCTGGGCTCTGGAATAAGTCCTTTTGCATCTGGAGCCATGTCCCTGCCGGAGAGCTGCTTGTGGGGGGAAACTCGTGACCTCAGCCAGTACCGACCCCCTTCCCATGAGACTGCAGTTGCCCCATACCGCTGGCTCATACCTGGCTTTCCAGTAAGCTCTGAGGCGGCAGCCACCTTGTATGTGGTCCAGATGCATTTCTGCCAAAAGCCGCTAGGTTTCTAGATTTGTTTCTGAGTCTCTGGGGTCATGGCCGTTAATTAGCTTGATCAGGAGCCAGAGAGGCCATTTGTAGGCAGCGACTCGGGGTCTCGCTGGGATGGGGAGGAAAGGGCTGTTTCCACCCCCATCTGGTTAGGCCCTGCATGCCTTGTCACTGCAGGCCCAAACCTGACTGTCCAGTGGCCTCTGGAGGATGGTGGTCACCGGGCCGCCAAAGGGAACAGGACAAGGCATGAAACCTATTCCCACCTGAGTGGCCCAGCACCAGTAACCTATTGCAGTAACTAACAGGATGCATTTCTGCCAAAAGCCTTTGGGTTCCGAGATTTGTTTCTGAGTCTCTGGGATCATGGCCATTAAGCAGTTTGATCAGAAACCAGAGAGGCCATGCCTCCAATAATATAGCTGAGCTGGAGGTGGTTTGTGGGTGTGTCTCCCACATACCTAACTTCTGGCCATTTACTTTCTTGGTAAACTTTGCTCCAAGTTTTTGGGGTCTGGCCAAAGGCACAGCAGCAATTTTGGGGTATCTGAAAGTCTGACGGTGCCATCAGGCTGCTGATGCACTTGCCTCACAGGTACAGATTGACCTGCTGGCGGCACCATACCCCCACAATTTCTTATCATTCTTATCAATAACTTCTTCCTATTCTCAACTGAAGAAACCCCTTATTAAGTAGTGTAGTATACAAAAAACACCTGGGCCTTAGAATGATTTTGATTAGAATCATGGTTCTTTTATTAGGTATGTGAACTTGGAACCACTTATTTAACCTTCTGAACATTATTTTAGTTTAAAAGATGAGGACATAAGGACATAACATTCCTCCCTGTCCCAACGAGACCACAAGTCGCCATCCACGAACGGCCTTTCTGGCTCCTGATCAAGCTGCTTAACGGACATGATCCCAGAGACTCAGGAGCAAATCTCGAAACCCAGCAGGTTTTGGCAGAAATTTCTCCAGATTAAGTGTTAAAATTTCGGAATTTCAAAACTGCGCGGCCACTACTGCAGCCATGTGACATCATATGTTATTCATAACCAGCAATAGAAAACAAATTGTCTACTGTTGCCTTTTCAGCAGATCTGAGTGTTGGGGTAAAATCATAATGGTGGGTCTGGTGTCAAGATACTGAATGTGATCAAAGTAGAGAGAGAGTAATGTGGAAATCACCTGCCTCACAGGTAGGGGGAGGGTGTGAGATGGGGGTATACTGGGGTTGTTGGGGGTGGATAATGGGCACTGGTGAAGGTACGGGTGTTTCATTGTACGACTGAGACTTAGACCCGAAAGCTTTGTAACTGCTCTCACTGTGATTCAATAAATAAAATTATATATATATATAAAAGCAAAACTAGAAAGCCTCTAAAATAAAAATCAAGACTTTTCTCTCAAAAAAAAAAAAAAACAACCACCAAAAAACCATTTTTATATACTTCAAGATCAGAATGTTTATAGAACACACAGCTCAATTTCAGGAACATAGGTATACTTATTCTTCTGCATTGTCTTTCAAATAAGATTTATAACTGTCATGTTTAGAATCATGCTATTATTTAGTCTATATCATTCATTTTGATCAATGTAAAAACTAACGGCCAGGTATGTTTAAATAACCTACCGTAGGACACAAAACTGAGATGACCTCAGACTATTTGGAAATAGTGGCTCCATAATTCATTCCTTGTAAACACCATCTTCATTTAACACCCAGATTCTACTAGTGATCAATTCTTTATCTACCTTTACATTTCTTCAGAGCTATAATCATGAACTAGCATTATTATGCATTTTATCTGCTTTGTTAGCAAACTTCCCAACTCCCACGCCTACCTCATAAGGCACCATAATAGTAGGGAATTTCATTGCCTTTATTCAGCACTTTATTCCTAGCACCTTAGGGATGGGGAGACAGTTCAGTGGTCAAGAGTACTAACCCTGCTATTACCACACATAGCTTGAGCCCCTCTGTGTGTAGCCACTTCCAGGCCCAGAAACATCAGGTGTGGTCCTGGAGACCAATGAAGACTGCAAGGCCTTGCTCTGCTGGAGGTCACCAGCTGCAATTAATCTCTGGAGGTCACCAGCTCTGCTGGGCCTGAGCATTGAACATTCCAGTGTGGTTGGCCAAATACTGACAGGAGTGGTCCCCTCAAATATTTGTTTAAAATATAAATAAAATATAAAATAATATGGGGCAGATGATTCTCAATAATTGCTAGATAAAAATAATGAATATCTATCTTTTCTTTAGTTTTTTCCAAAAAAACCTTATAAGCACTTGAAAACATTTCTTCAGTTTTCTTCTAATGAAAATATATCAAACATTTTAAGATAAGGGCTGGAGCGATAGCACAGCGGGTAGGGCGTTCGCCTTACAAGCGGCCAACATGGCCGACCCGAGTTCGATTCCTCCGCCCCTCTCGGAGAGCCCGGCAAGCTACCGAGAGTATTGGATATGCCAGACACAGTAACAACAAAGTCTCCAATGGAGACGTTACTGGGCCCGCTCGAGCAAATCGACGATCAACGGGAGGGCCTTTTAAGATAAGAAGTTCTACTATAAGTATCGCCTCTTCTTTATAACTTTTCCAACTTATTCTCTGAAGTCTTTCAAAGAAATTAAAATAATACTTAATGCCAATACCCAAAATAAATGTACTAATTTTCCATATAGTAATTACCTTATTAAGAAGTGGTTGCAATTTGGTTAGTGCAATTACCGTAGCTTCTATCAGAACTTGACTGTTGTAAGTATCAGGTCCTTTTAAGCAACTCTCAAGTGCCTTTTAGGAAAACAGGATTTTTTATTTTACTTTCACTGAAAGAAAATATTAATTCCTAGCTAAATTTAGAATTATCTCAGAAGCAAAATCTTATTTATTACTTGCTAGAATTATTTCCAATGTTAGGATCATCTTGGTAGTTAGCTCACAGCACATATAGGTTCTTATTTTTAATATTTCTGTATTATATCCTAATTAAAAAAACCAGGGGTTATTATAGTAATTGAAAAATACATAATTTAATAAGAGCATATATCTTACATATTGTTTTATCAGAAAACTGATACTACTAAACTTCAAAGAATTAAAATTTAATAACAATTTTACAATAATTTAATAATAATCAAAACTAATTTCTTAAGGTTTAATAAGCAAGCAAAACATTTTGTTATATTCAAATTTCCCTAAGAAAAATGCAAAATATACTTTACAACTTGGGAACCACACATATTTTTAAGAAGGGTGAAAAAGTACCTTGCTAAGAATACGAATAATCTGCTTTATCTGCCCATGAGACACTCGTTTGCTAATACAGCCAAAGACAACAAGAGCTCTTGGTTGCAGGGATGGATTATATTGGAATGCAAATCTGCAATTAAAAGATCCAAAGAGCTTATGAAAACCTTTATATTAAGATATACTAAATAATTAAAAATTGATTATGCAGCAATATCTTTTCAGTAGCAGATATACTTCTGCAACTTATATTAATTTGGGACATACCTTTGAGCTAGTTCTGTCCACTGGTCCAGCCACTTGCATGTTGGAATATCTCTCATACACGCCTAAAAAAAAGGATATGCTAAATATGTTTAAGCACATAAATGCTGTTAGAAACATCTAAATAATGTTTTTTGTAATCTTCCTAAATAAATGATATATACCAATAAATTCCTATTTAATGGTACAGGATAGGAGTGGTTCTATTTAAGCATTAAGTTCCAAGCAGCAGAATAAACTACTAATTCTTCTATTTGATACTAGTATATCATAAAAAAATTATCTTAATTTCTTATAATTTTTTCCTGTATACCTCCATGATCTCTAACAAAGCTTCTGTGACTGTTTCCAAGGATGTTAAAGCAAAAGTTTCCCTCTCATAGGAGCCAGGAGAGAATGACCTGTCTCGGTAACTGGAACGAAACGCAATGACAGCAGCTGACTTGACTTTGCTAATGCCAAACAACAAGTAAAATTTAGGTAATGAGAACTCTGTCAAACTGAGTCTTAAAACTTGCTTGGTTTCTTCTGCAAGAAAGAAAAAAGAAAAAGAAAGAAGGAACAAGGCTTAAATGTTATTTTTAAATTCCAAATGTCACATTTCATTTTGAATTTAGAAAATTTCAATATACAAATTACATAACCATATTTCCTAAACCAACCCTCTACACACATTTATTTTAAAACTCATTGATTTAGCTCTATTTATCTACAGATCTGTCCCAGTAATATAATACTGTCAACTGGTACTGTCTTCAGTGTAGCGAAAACTACAGGCATCTACTCGACAAACTGGAACAGAAAAAAAAATCTTTTCTGTAGCTTGGTATGGAATGAAAGCACATTCTGGTTTTATGTCATCACCATAGGCTTAAATAAGCAGCTTTGTAAAAGACCATAATAAGTAATAATAATAATAATAATAAAAATCTATGCCAAGTAGAAAAGAGCTAATTATCTTTTGGGAACTTACCACTAAAATGAAGCTGTGAACATGTACACAGAGAATGAATGATATTAATGACCAATCCATGGGTGGAAGCTCTCAGGGAAAGTGGTCCGGTGGCTACTAAGAAAGTTACAACGTGGAAGAGGTAGGGGAGATGAGCTGCCACATCAAGGGAATTGTTGAAGGACAGCATTAGCATGTAGCGTGCTAGAATAGCAATATCATCCCACATAAGATGTTGTTCTAAGGTAGGTGTTGGAGATAAGCATGTCTTGTCAATTATTTTGCACATCCTTCCAATAACCTGTAAAAAAAAATCAGAATTTTAAAATATACAGGGACTAAAAAAAAAGATATTAGAAAAGAAAATTCAGTTTAACTTAAGATATCTAGTTATGGAAAAAATAACTTCCTGTTATACTCATCATACCACAGTATAGAAGTCAAAGGGACAGTGATTACCTTGCTTGAAACCAATTTTACATTTCCAGAAGCCAAAGCTACAGCAGTATCTGCCATCACCTCAGCTTTTATTGATCCCAAGCCACCTGTTGCACTGGTTTTGATGAAACTATCTAGTACAACATCAAGAAGATCTGTAATCTGGCAGAAGACAGAAAAATGATTTGTTTAAGTCACTTTATCACGTGCACTTAAAAACACTTCAGGAGTAATCCAAATACATAAAAAATCTATTTTACCTGAGGCCTCCAAAAAACATTTTAGAAACCTGTCAATAAATAAAATTTATCATAAAATATTCAGAAAATGATGAAAATATTTACTTAATTTCTTCAGAGATAAAAAACAAACCAAAAAATCCTAGTATTTAGTGGTCCAGAGAGATAGTACAACTGGTAAGATACTAGCCTTGCACAAGGTCAGTCCCAGTTTCATCTATGGCATCACATATGGTCTCCCAAGCATTGTCAGGAGTGACCCCTGAGTACAGATCCAAGAGTGAGTCCTAAGTAAGCACTGCCAGGTTCGGACCCCAAACCCAGTCCCCTGACAAGTACCTCCAAATACAGCTGGTATTCAAAAACTTAGTATCTCCACATATGTATATACTGACATGCGTATACATGTGTGCATATACACATACATCTTTGGGGGAAGGGTTAGGGAAAAACCTAGCAGTGCTGGGAGCGAGTACCTTGGTGCTCAAGGGTCCCTGCTAGCAATATTTAGAAGACAGAGCTATGCCAGGGTGCACCCTGAGTGTTTCAGCTTTTTGATCTAAGTTCCTACGACATCAAGTACTAAGATGTTTTTAAGGCATGAAACTGGCACTAAGATAATTTAAAATTATTTGGAGATTTACAGCATTGTTAGAATACAAAATCTGTTTTCTTAAGTGATTATTCTGAAGAAATGATATTTACCACACACCTGAGTTCATTGCAGCACTGTCTACAAAAGATAGGAAAGCAAGCCAAGTATCCAACAATAGATGAGTGCATGAAGACATTGGAGTCTATATCCCTTTACCTCAACCTGTAGTTCATGGACTAGTTTTTGGTCTGAGGAAATTTTCTGGTGGTCTGGCACAAAATTTCCCCCCAATCATGTAGTAGCTAAGCAGCAGTTGTTGCACTAGCTAAAAAATCAAATTTTGTAAAACTGGATTGAATAAAATACTAGTCAGCTGTCTAGCAGCAAGCATGAAAAAGTTGAAGAGGAGCCAGAGAGATAGTAGAGTGGGTAAGGTACACTTGCCCTTGTCCAGCAGCTGACCTGGGTGCAATCCTGGCACCCCATATGGTCCCTTAGCACTTTCAAAGTGATCTCTGAGCAGAGCCAGGAATAAGTCCTGAGAATTGCTGAGTGTAACACCCCCCAACCAAAAAAAAAAAAAAGGTTGAAAAACACTGTTGTGTATATATACCATGTAATACTACTCAGCTATATTAGTTTAAAAAAAAAGAAAGGAAAAAGAAAGATGAGATGCTGGAGAGATAGTACAGGAGTTTTGACACTTGTCTTGAAAGAGGTCCATATGAGTTTGATCTTTGGTACAGCATACAGTCTCCTGAGTCCTTCCAGGCGTAATCCCTGAACACAGGGCCAGGAATATGCCCTTAAGCATGTCTGGGTATAGCCCAAAAACTGGGGGAAAAATGGTGAGCAAGTGGAAGGGCCAAGATGGTTGAGAAAGGAGCCTTTTGAGATCCAGCAGGAGCCCTGCACTGAGCAGCAGAATGAAATGCAAAATCCAGCTTGCAGGGCCACAAAGGAAGTGAGTAGAAACACTCAAAGGCCAAAGCAAATCATCCAATGATCAGATTGGCTCCAGAGTCCTGGAAATTCTCCAGGGGAAGAAGGAGCTGGGAGCAGATACAGAATATGCTCCCTGGGAGGGGGGAAAGGCAGAGCAGAAGTAGCTAAGGCACAGAACTCTGCTGGAGAAAAGAAAGCATTAGGCTGAAAATGTGTGCCCCCAATCTGACTGAATCTCTTCCCACATAAATCTGGTCTGGAGGATAGGCCAAAGTTAGCCTAGACAAGGGGCCCAGGGCCAACGTTCACAGATGGCAAACCTCTGTGGCCCCCCAAACAGGTCAGATAAACAACCTGCAGTCATTCCAAGTCATAGGCGAGCAAGGGAAAAACAGAATCTACCTTTCCACCCCCATTCTCCTTGCAAGAGACAGACTGCAGGTATTTGCTCAGAGTCAGAAAGGAGATTTTCTCCTACGACTAAGAAATACTGATACTATCATGTGCCTCTTCCCAAATCATAAGCCACACCCAGCAATACTCAGGACACTCTGGGGTCTGGGGATTAAACCTGGGCATTCAGGTATATGCTCCAACTCTTTGGGCTATTTCCTAGCCCTTAAAACACTCAATGAAAACAATAACTCACTATTGAAAGACACACAGAAATGGAAAGATATTCATGTTCAAGTGTTCAAAGATTAAAATGACCATCCAACCCAAAGCACTATACAGATACAATATAATTCCTATTAAAATTTTCATGGCATTCTTTAAGGATATGGGACAAATGTTCTTAAATACTCCATTTACATGGATCCACAAAACTCCCTTGCTACCAGATGTAAATTATCTTACAACGCTGTAGCAATCAAAACTGTAGAGTCTCAAACCAATCCCAGAGATAAACCTTCATATGTATAGACAATTAATTTCAACAAAGGAGCTAAGTGCTTGAAGTGGAGAAAGGAAAGCCTCTCTTCAATATTGGTATTGGGAAAGGTGGGCAAAATTCTCCACGACAGTGAAGCTAAAGGTATCCTCAAAGATGAAATACTACTGACCAAGCAAGTGGAAAAAGAGATAAACAAATGGGACTATCTTCACAGCGGGTAGGGTGTTTGCCTTGCACACAGCTGACCCGGGTTCGATCCCTGGCATCCCATATGGTCCCCCAAGCACTGCCAGGAGTAATTCCTGAGTGCAGAGTCAGGAGTGACCCCTGAGCATCACTGGGTGTGACCCAAAAGGCAAAACAACAACAACAACAAATGGGACTATCTTAAGAAGCTTCTGCACCTCAAAAGAAACAGTGACCAGGATACAAAGACAGTTTACAGAATGGGAAAGGCTATTCACCCAATACCCTTCTGATGGGCTGGAGCGATAGCACAGCAGGTAGGCTGTTCGCCTTGCATGCAGCCAACATGGCAACCCGAGTTCAATTCCTCTGCCCCTCTCGAAGAGCCCGGCAAGACACTGAGAGTATCTCGCCCGCACAGCAAAGCCTGGCAAGCTCCCCATGACGTATTCAATATGCCAAACACAGTAACAACAAAGTCTCATGATGGAGACGTTACTGGGCCCGCTCGAGCAAATAGATGAACAACGGGAGAACAGTGACAGTGACCCTTCTGATAAGAGGTTTAATATCAAGGATATACAAGGCACAGGTTAAACTCTACAAGTAGAAAACATCCAATTCCATCAGAAAATGGGGCTATGAAATGAACAGAGACTTTCTCAAAGAAATTTGAGTGGCCAAAAGGCACATGAAAAAATGTTCTTCATCACTAATCATCAGGAAGATGCAGATCAAAACAACAATGAGGCATCATTTCACACGACAGAGACTGGCACACATCCCCAAAAAACAAAACCAGTGTTGGTTTGGATGTGGGGAAAAAAGGGACTCTCCTTAACTGTTGGTGGGAATGTCAACTGGTCCAGCCTTTTTGGAAAACAATATGGACATTTCTCAAAAAACTAGAAATTGAGCTTCCGTTTGACCCAGCAATACCATGTCTGGGAATATAACTTGGGGGCCCAAAAATACACAGCAGAAACATCATCTGCATGCCAATGTTCATTGTAACACTCTTCACAATAACCAGAATCTGGAAACAATCCGAGTGCCTGAGAACAGATGAATGGATAAAGAAACTATGACACATCTACACAATGGAATACTATGCAGCTGTCGGGAAAAATGAAGTCATGAAATTTGCCTATAAATGGATGGACATGGAGAGTATTATGCTGAGTGAAATGAGTCAGAAGGAAAGGAACAGATATAGAATAATTGCATTCATTTGTGGTATATAAACATATATATGTATACATACACATATATGTGTGTGTATATATATATTTAGAGAGAGAGAGAGAGGAAGAGATATATTTATTCATGGCCAGGTAAAACGGGTTAGGAATACTGGTCAGTGGTTGGAACTAACCACAAGTGTGTATGGGGCTGAGGGTAGGTGAGAGAGAGAGGAGACTACTATGACAATAGCTGGGAATGATCACTCTGGACAAGATCTGAGGGTAAAAAGTAGGTAAGGTATATTCTGGATAACCTTTCAGTATCAATATTGCAAACCACAGTGCCTGAAAAGGAGAGAGAGAGAGAGAGAGAGAGAGAGAGAGAGAGAGAGAGAGAGAGAGAGAAGCACCTGTCATAGAGACAGGCAGGGGGAAGGGAGTGGGAGGGTGATGGGAGGGAACCTGGGGACACAGGTGCTGAGAAATGTATACTGGTAGAAGGTCGGGTATTGGAATACTGTATGACTGAAATTCAATCATGAACAGCTTTGTAAAAATAAATAAATAACAATGGTATTGGGAAAACTAGTTGATGACATGCCAAAAAAAAAAAAAAACCCAAGTTGTTTTCTCACACTATAAAAGTTAACTTAAAATGCATTAAAGGGAGACAGAGAGATAGTATAGGGGTTAAGGTTATTTCCTGGCCTGCAGCTGCTGACCCTGTTTGGCTCAGGCACTATGTAAGCTCCCCTAAGCCCAGAGCCAGGAATGATCCCTGAAGCACAGAGTTAGTAGGAGTCACTGAGCACTGTCTTCTGTGAACTAAAACCCACACGCCCAAAATACTACTCACAATAAAACAAACTGGATTAAAGACATCTGTATTAGACCAAAATCAAGGAATACAGAGAAGAAAACACAGGCAACACAAGTTATGGACTTTGTTTTTTTTTTTTTTTTTAAGTTATGGACTTTGAAGGCATCTTCAATGAATCGATGCCACTGGCAAACAGAAGCAAAGACAAATAAATGAGACTAGATAGAGTTCAGAATTTTCTATACTGCAAAAGAAATAATGGCTTAAAAGACATTCTACTAAAGAGGAAAATATCCACACATCACAGATCTAACAATGGGCTAATATCCAAGCTATATAAAGTACTTGCCAAACTGAACAACAACAAAACAATCTCATAAAAAAAGAGGATTGGGGGCTAGAGAGATAGTTCAGGGGTTAAGGCAGACCCGGTTTGATTCTTGATACCATATACAGGCCCTGAGCACAGAACACAGAGCCAGAGTAAGTCCTGAGCACTGCCAGGTAAATTTCAAAAACCAAACAAAAATCCCCCAAAAACCACCCTCTGAAAAAACTGGTGAGAGGAGCTGATTAGACATTTCCTTAAAGAAGACACACAGATGGCCAAAGAACATTAAGACAAAATGTTCATCATCACTTAGTCAGAAAAATGCAAATCACAATGACAATGAGCTATCATCACCTCATAATGTTAAGAATAGCTCACTTACAAAATCTGGAACCAAACAGTGCCTGTGGGCATGTGGTAAAACAGGAATTCCTCACTCGTGGGGGTGTGGGGGTGCTGTGGGCTGATCTAGCCTCTTTGGAAAATAATACAAAAACTTCTCATAAATTAAAAATAGAACTACCACACAATCCCCTGATCTATTCCATGGCATCTATCACAGGAACAAAAATTGCAAACACTGTGGTTTGCAATTGTTTTGGGGGGGCATGTCAAAAGATAACTGGAAAAGGTATTTGCATGTCTATGTTCACTGCACACAATTTGTAACAGCCAAAATCTGCAAACAACTACATTTAGTCCAACAACAGAGGAGTGGAAAAAGAAACTGGTGTGTCTGTAGATGTATAGTGGAATACTACTCAATTATACGAAAAGAGGAAATTTTATCGTTTGCTGCAACTTGGATGAAATCAAAGGGTATCTGACTAAGCGAGTTAGGAGGAGGACCAATAACTGATGATCTCACTCATTTGTGGAGCATAAAGGAACAAAGGAGGGCACAGACAATGGCAAATGAAAAAAAGCCCTGAAATTCTGCCTAAACAACTGAATCTGCCAAGTAGGGGATGGGTTAGTGTGGGATAAGAGATGCAAGGACAGGGGCAGAAGGATACTGATGCTTTGGTGGTGGCTGTGATAAAATAATGCTGTATGCCTAAAACATCAATACTACTACTCCTGTAAAGCATGATACCTCTATTAACAAAAAAAGAGGAACTCTTGCAGTCTTCTGCTACAACATGGATCAAGCTGAGCAAATTACATCAGAAGGAGAAAGAATAATACCAGATGATCATATTCATATATGGAACATAAAGAAACAAAGCACGGGGTCAAAATCAAATTTGCTTCTGATTTATAAAACAAACCCTTACCACAGAACTACAGTTACCAGGTTGTGTGTGTGTCTGAGAGTGTGGAAATGTGGGGAATGGACTAAAGAGTGAAAGGGGCCCAGTGAACTGTGGAAGGATACTATGGTGGTGGACATGATGCATTAATTACTGTACCCTAAAAATACAGACTTGGAAACCAAAGTGACCTCAATAGAATATACAAAGTACAGAAATATTCCTATAATATACCTGTGATATTCTACTTATTACGAAATTAATCTAAATGAAATTACTTTAGAGATGAATTTAATATAATTATGCTATAGAGAGCACTAAAATAACTAATTTTTCTGTGATTCTGAAACATTCATTAGACATTTACAGTACTGAACCAGATGAAGGATTTTATCTTTTTGGTTTTGGGGCCAGAGTGCTCAGAGAGCACTCCTGGCAGGGCTCAGGAGACCATATAAGGTGCCAGGGATCGAACCTCAGTCAGCTGCGTGCAAGGCAAGTCTGTTACTGGCTATCCTACCTCACCAGGCCCAGGAAGCAGATAAAGGATAGGCATCTGCACGCTTTCTGAAGGAGGACACTGTCTTTTTGAGTTACATCCATACAAAGTGGACAGCAGATAAAATATCTGCACAAAGAAGCTACTAGATAAATATTTTAACATACTCAATACCTGCCCAAGGCTCCCCCATATTTTTGCTTGAATAGAGGGGTACATCTGTTTCTCATTGATGGTCATTGTTATCAGTTTATCAAGAATGGCAGTAACTCTTTGTCGTTTGGCATCATCATTGTGCTTACAAAAACGAACTAGATTTGACAGCCATGGAGTCATGTATTCCAAACAAAGATGTTTCAATTCAATACCTAGGGAAAAAACATACTATTAATACAAACAATCAATGAATTACATCACAGATCTAACAAATGGGCATTAATATCAAAGCTATATAAAGCACTGGACAAACTCAACAACAACAAAATTCCATCAAAAAATGGGGAGGGAGGGTCAGAGAAATAGTACAGAGTTTAGGTGCTTGAATAATGTAATAAATAAAATAGTAATTATTTTAAAGTCTCTAACAAATTATAAGAAAAGATAAAAGCTAAAGACAATTAGCTGAAGATTCAGGCCTGCAGAAATGAGATGATATATATTATTGAAGACAGAGGTAAAGAAAACGAGCCTTAAAAAACTTCTTTTAATTGAGTCAGTGTGATTTACAAAATTATTCGTAATTATGTTTCAGGTATACAATGTTTCATTATCAATAGGTCAACTTCCCTCCACCAATCTCTCCAGGTTCTTTCTTCTTTTCTTCCCTCCCTCCCTCCCTCCCTCCCTCCCTCCCTCCCTCCCTCCCTCCCTCCCTCCCTCTCTCCCTCCTTCCTTTTCCTTTTCTTTCTTTTCCTCTCTTTTTTTTTGGTTTTTTGGAGCTGTGCACGTAGGAATTACTCCTGTTAGTGCACAGGGACCATATGGAATGCCAGGGATTGAACTGTGGTCAGCCAAGAGCAAGGCAAACACCCTACCCACTGTATTCTCACTCCTGACCCTCCTAATATTTCTTTACCAATCTGTTTCCCTTAAATTTGATTGTTGACTATGTTTCCCCCCCCACCCAGGGTGAAGACAGTAGGGGGAGGCCCAATAGTCATTCTGGTTGTCCACTAGTGATATTTGGTCAACCTGGCCAGAATGATTCCATGCTCAGGCCCGGTGATGCAGTGCTATTTCCACCCTATAAATGCTGGGTGCCACCAGTGCCACACCTGGTGATGCTCAGGGGCCTCCAGGGCTATATCTAGTGGTGCTGCAGGGGGGCAGGGGGAGGGGCCATGCAGCACCAGGGGCTGAACTCAGGGTTTTAAGTATGCAAGGCTGCAGTGTTTTGAGCTATCTCTCTGGTCTCTACTAGCTGATTCTTCAATTCAAAATTGTTCTGAGTTTACTACAACAGTATCTCAGACACTTGTAATATCAAGTATGTCTTTTTCTTTTTTCCTTTTTCAATGTCAGGACTCAAACTGAGGGATTTACACATGCAAGATACATGATCTACCAGTGAGGCATACTTTAGGCCCTTCAGTTTCTTCTTTACAAAATGCTCTTAGCTATTCTTGTACTTGCAAGAGAAATTTATAATCTTTTTATTGTTTGAAATAAATACTTGTTTTTTTCACCCAGGTCTCCCCCCTCCCCCCCCGTGGGTCAAACCCAGCGATGAACAGGGGTTGCTCCTGGCTTTGCACTCAGGAAATACTCCTGGCGGTGTTCAGAGGACCGCATGGGATGCTGGGAATCAAACCTGGGTCGGCCGTGTGCAAGGCAAATGCCCTACCTGCTGAACTATGGCTCTAGCACCTTTTTGCCCTGTTTTAAGAAGTTATAAAAACAACTAAAGTTGTAATCACATGCATGCGTGCGTGCATGTGTATATATGTGTGTGTGTATGTGTGTGTGTGTGTGTACCTAGGCACCCCTTTAGCTATCCTTGGTCAACTGGACTAGCAGTTGGCCAGAGGATATGGATTGGCTTGGGCCCTGAGGGGCTGGAAACTACTCAGGTCCACCCTGGTGATGCTCAGGGCTTCCCAGAATTGCAACTGGCAGTGATCTGGTAATCATAGCACAGCGGGTAGGGCGTTCGCCTTACAAGCGGCCAACATGGCCGACCCGAGTTCGATTCCTCCGCCCCTCTCGGAGAGCCCGGCAAGCTACCGAGAGTATTCGATATGCCAGACACAGTAACAACAAAGTCTCCAATGGAGACGTTACTGGGCCCGCTCGAGCAAATCGACGATCAATGGGAGGGCCTTTACCTTTACCTTTTACCTTCAAAAGGACTGCCACAATTCAGTGAGTTAACTGTAGTACTGTAGCACTGTCCTCCCGTTGTTCATCGATTTGCTCTATCGGGCACCAGTAATGTCTCATAACAAATTGTGAGACTTGTTGTTACTGTTTTTGGCATATCTAATATGTCACAGGAGCTTGCCAGGCTTTGCCATGTAGGCAAGATACTCTCAGTAGCTTGCCAGGCTCTCTGAGAGGGGTGGAGGAATCAAACCAGTGAGTTAACATGTTCATTATATTATTTTACTTTTTTAGTGTGACTCTAAGAGAGTCATTAAAAATTTTCTTTATTTTTTTTTTTGCTTTTTTGGGTTACACCCGGCGATGCACAGGGGGTTACTCCTGGCTCTGCACTCAGGAGTTACTCCTGGCGGTGCTCAGGGGACCTTATGGGATGCTGGGAATCAAACCTGGCTCAGTTGAGTGCAAGTTAAACGCCCTACCCGCTGTGCTATCGCTCCATCCCCTCATTACAAATTTTAATGATATACGACAGTATTATAAACTCTACCCACATTGGGGCTGGAGCGATAGTACAGTGGGTAGGGCGTTTGCATTGCACGTGGCTGACCCAGGTACAATTCCCGGCATCCCATATGGTTCCCCGTCTGCCAGGAGTGATTCTTGAGGGCAGAGCCAGAAGAAAGCCTGAGCATCACTGGGTGTGACCCAAAAAGAAAAAAAATTAAAAAAAAAAAAAAACTCTAGCCACTAGTATAGAATTAAAGAGATTAATCATTTTATAATTTAAAAAATGTACATTTTTACCAAACTTTAACTATCCGTAGTAATTCTATTTATTCAAATCACAAAAATCACAAATCATCCTGTTATTCGTCGATTGCCTCAAGCAGGCCCCAGTAATGTCTCCTTCATCCATCCTAGCCCTGAGATTATATTCAAGGCTCTTTAGGAGAATGAGACCCAGCATTGTTACTGGTATTTGGCATATTGGGTACGCCACGGGGAGTTTGCCAGACTCTGCCGTGTGGGCAGGCTATATTCGGTAACCTGCCAGTTTGTCCAAACTGGCAAAATTCTATTTATTGGTAACTATAATTCTAAACTGTTTCTATGAATTGAATTTTTCTTGAATTTTAGATTTTCAGAGATAAGTGATCTCATGAAATGTATCTGGGATCTAAATAAAAATTAAAGATCCCCAATCTTTAATTTTTATTTTATTAAATATTGGTTCATATAACGTGCAAGTCTTAGGTGCACGGCTTTATGCTTCAACATCTGTACATGCTAATTTATGCATATCACAAAAAACTCTAGCTCTGTCCATCACTATACACTTGACCTCTTTTACCAATTTTACCACTCCACCACTCCACTGCCCTCTGGTGATGATTCTGTTGTCAGAACTAAGAATCTGTTTCATTTTGTTGATGTGCTTGCTTCCTTTATCGTCCATATATGAATAAAAATATATAGTCTTGACTTTTTCCATGACTTTTTTAGTTTAGGATAATATAATCCTTTCAAGGTCCATCTGTGTTGTTTCAAATGGCAGTTTCTTCTTTTTTCTCCCTCTCATCTTCGAAGTGTTCCACTATGTATATTTACACGTCTTTATTCATTTGTCTATTGATGGATACTTAGGTTGTATTCAAATCTTGGCTATTATAATAGTTATATTAGTGCCTAATTAGTGAGATGATTTCTTCTGATGTTTTTTCTTCTTAATACCATTATTTTTTAGAGAGAAGATGGTAACATCTCTTGCAATGCCATTTAAGATGATGAACTATTTTAGTTTCTGCTTTTCTGAAAAAACTCTTAATCCAGTTATGAATGAAAACTTGGCCAAACATCAGATTCTTGGTGGCAGTTTTCTTCTTTCAGCACTTTTCAGTTTGCATGCCAATATAAGTGTCCTGAAGAGCTTCTGTTGAAAAATCTGCTGACAACCTTATAGGACTGTAGACAGCAGCTATTTTTCTTCTCTCTGCCTTTAAGATCCTCTCTTTAACTTCTGCCATTTTAATATGAAATGTGTTTTGGTGTGGATCTCTGAGTTCATCTTTTTTGAAACTTTCTGGGCTTCTGGTACCTGGATTTTTACTTTTCCCAGATCAGAGAACTTATTGGCCTTTATTTACGTTCTCAAATAATTCTTCCGACCCATTTTCTTCTGCTAGGACCCCTATAATGTGAGTACTCTTTTTGCTGCTGTACCAAAGGTATCTTCACTTTGTTTTGCTTTTTTGGGGGTGGCCCAAAACCCAGCAGTGCTCAGGACTAACTTCTGGCTCTGTGCTCAGGGACCATTCCTGGTGCTTCTCAGGGGTACCATATGAGGTGCTGAGGATTGAACCCGGTTAGCTCACTTGAAAGACAAGTGTTTAACTGTTGTATTCTATCTCTGGCCACATATATCTTCACTTTTTAAAAACTATTTTTTCATTCTGTTGCTCTATCTGAATGAATTAAGTTATTTTGTCTTCCAAGTTGCTTATCAGCTCCTCTACTTCAGCCACTCTGCTGTTGTACCCCTCTATTATATTTTTTAGTTCAATCAAATTCTTCAATTCTATAGCTTTGGTTTGGAGCTTTGTTAAGTTTTCAATTTATCTACTCTTTTCCTTAGTTTGATAAGCAGTTTTATAGCTATGACTTAGAACTGTTCATCAGGGAGTTTGCTTCTTTCTTTCTTTCTTCTTTTTTTTATTTTATTTTTTTTATTTTTGGGTCACACCCGGCGATGCCTAGGAGTTAATCCTGGCTTTGCACTCAGGAATTAGTCCTTGCGGTGCTTGAGGGACCATATGGGATGCTGGGAATTGAACGTGGGTTGGCCATGTGCAAGGCAAACGCCCTACCCGCTGTACTATCGCTCCAGCCCCGAGTTTTCTTATTTCTTTATTTAAGGCATGTCCTGGTGTGAGACAGCGGTAAGCTCAGTTGGTGGTGCTGTGAGTCAGGCCATGGCATGGAGCTTCTGTGGGGTGGCAGCAATGAATCATCCATCAGCCTGGCAATGGCACGTAGCTGCTCTGCCTTCTCTCATTCTCAATCCTCAAAACCATATACATATTTGAGGCAGTTAGTAGTCACTGTCACTGTCCTCCCGTTGTTCATCGATTTGCTTGAGCAGGCCCAGTAACGTCTCCATCGTGAGACTTGTTGTTACTGTGTTTGACATATTGAATATGTCACGGGTAGCTTGCCAGGCTTTGCCATACAGGCAAGATACTCTTAGTAGCTTGCCGGGATCTCCGAGAGGGGGTAGGAATTGAACCTGGCTTGGCTGGCCGGCTGTATGCAAGGCAAAAACACCCTACCACTGTGCTATCACTCCAGTCCCAGTTAGTAGTAATATAGCAGAACTGTTTATTTAGGAATACGGTCATATCTGTTACTCAGGAAAAAAATTTGTAATATTTCAGAGGTGGAAATTAATTAATATTTGCAAATTAAAATTTGTAAATTTAATTAATATTTGTAAATTAAAATTAATATTTGTAAATATTTCAGAGGCTGGAATGGCATCATTCTGGGGTTGCTTCCTATGCTCTAGGAACCATGGAGTGCCCAGGATCAAACCCGGGTCTCCTGCCCTGGAGCCATCTCCTTGATTCCGCAAATGTTATGTTTTAATGTTAAAGTAAAGGTGAAGGCCCTCCCGTTGATCATTGATTTGCTCGAGCGGGCCCAGTAATGTCTCCATTGGAGACTTTGTTGTTACTGTGTCTGGCATATCGAATACTCTCGGTAGCTTGCCGGGCTCTCCGAGAGGGGCGGAGGAATCGAACTCGGGTCGGCCATGTTGGCCGCTTGTAAGGTGAACGCCCTACCGCTGTGCTATCGCTCCAGTAATGTTAGTATTACAAAATAACACTGCTTTTTCAGTCTTACACATTTTTTAAAAAGTTTCTGTACCTTTTAGAAGAGCATATTCACCACATTATAGGAATTAAAGACAGGTATAAATAATAGATGTCAAATCTATGAGGTTTATTAATGCCAACTCAGGGGTTGACTTTGCCCCCTAAATTATGTGCCACTGCATTATCCATGCACCGTACATAAACAATAAACCACAAAGCCATCTATAGCACAAACACACACACATATAAAAGGGCCATTTCCTTAAAATCAAGGAGATAAAATGATTACCTGGAATAAAAAACATCGAGAAATGCTGAATATATATAAAGAAGAGAAATGCTGAAACCAATTAAATTGAAACAACACAAAAAATTACTTTGTAAGTGATCCAGAAACATGAAAGCTATCAAAATTCTACCACCTTGCTTTCATTGCAAGAATTTTAGTAGTTTTCTTAGTGAGCTCTACCATGTTTACTAGTCAAGTTCCTTTATAATTCTTCAGTTATATAATAACACAGATTAAAAAAAATTACAAGAGGCAAAGACATGAAAATGTAATTGATTAAATAGTACATCAACAAACTTTTCAAATGAGAGGGTCTAAGTATTCTAAAAGCCATTGTCAATGTTAAAATAATCATCACTTACTAGATTTGCTAAATCCAGAAATACACTCTTCCAAAAACTCCAAGGTAAGGTGTGGCTCATTGGCTGCCAGTGTCTTACTAATTGAGACGATAAAAAGGGTATTGTTGGCAGGGATACATAAACCTGATGTCTCTAGTAACTGGCCCTCGATTTTTAAATTAAAGGTACAAGTTAAGGCACACAGAAGATTATAGGCAGCTGACCTAGGGAGAAACACAAATGAGTTGCATTAGAACATTTTTCTTACATTCCAAGTTGTTTTTTTTTTTTCATAACATACAACTTATGGTTCTTTGACAAGGTATGATGAACTATTGGGGGTGGGTGGAGAACTCCCAAGCATTTCTCAATGTGAAAATTTCTGGAAATACATTCTGGAAATACTCAGATTTATGGTACTAGGGGCCAGAAGGGCCACCTTGGCAGTGCTCAGCCACCGGGGATACCAGGGTTATACTCAATGGTGTTTAGGGGTATATTTGGTGCCAGGATCAAGCTCAGGGACTCAAGAATGCCAATCATATGCTCCAGCCCTTTGAGCTACCTCCCCAGGCCCTAATGAACTATTTAAAAATTTTACAATCAACCAGAAATAAAATGTTATGCTTCTAAGGTAAAAACCAAAACACAACTCTTGATCAATTGGGGACTTTTTTCTAAAGGGAAAAAATTTACTTAGATAGAAGAACTCTGAGGCTCCCACGTAATCAAAAGTCTTCCTAAAAGGCAGCTCACTGGGACATAAAATATGAGAAATTTATGGTGCCGAGGTTGGTTAATTCAAAGTCAGAATGAGACCTATCATATTTTCTATGAAGTCCAAACACAAGTTATAGCTGTCCCTCCCAGTAGGCCACAAAGGTGAGAAAGGCCACAGAAATTCAAATCTACTCAAGGCATTTTCTCTGAGATGACATGCCTCAGCAAAAAGCAGAAGTTATCAGTATGCTTTATTTTTATCAGATTCATTTTCACTAGAATTCTAACAATTGCTAGAAGGCTGTTCGCATTCCTCTGAAACTTTAAATTACAGATTTAAAGTAGGCTTCTATTTTCATTTTGATAATATGAGAATACTAAGTTTATTATTCTAATTACTAGGAACTTTGAGTTAAACTACTTTGACATTGATTTCTAGTTTATATTTCATCAGTTTAAATTAGGGTTCCTCAATACTTGGGTACAGGCATCACAGATTCTTCTAAAATGGAGGAATACACAAAATTTTATGTATAATTTCCAGACATTCAGAGATTCCATGGGGCCCCTTCAGAGGAAAAAATTTTGCTATTTTTCCCTTTCAAGTTAGATAATTTGATTCTAAAAGGCCCTCCTCCCTTTATATTCTAGGGAAGATTTTATGAAGCTAAAAATTTACCTAAAAATTCTGACATTCCCAAGATACTTGGGACAAAGAATTATTATAACATGAAAAGGAGAGATAGGAACGGGGAGGGGATGCAAAGAAGTACGACCAGTGTACTGGGATATATCTTGAGTGTATAGTACATGCCAGGCATGTTTGAAGCTCAAAGCCTGAGTTCTGGCAATATATGGCCCTGGTGTCTGTCTAACATCCTGCACCACAGGAGTGACCTCTATGAAAAAGAAAATGAAACTGGCAGGGGGCAGAGGGTGGATAAGAGGAAACAGTATTGATTAAGCACCAACTATTAGCTAAGTGATATACTATGCTAATGTATATAGCACTTATTAATCCTTTGTAGAATGAGAAAGGTATTGCTGCCTTTATTGTTGTCTCCTGCCCCCGTACCTGGCTGTCCTCACCGGGGCCCCTTGAAGGAGGGTGGACTGAGTTTCCCTCTACGCCCTGAGCAGAGCCCCAACAGCTGAAGACCTCTGGGCCTCAGCTAAAGCCATGCTGAGACCACTCTCCACATGCTTGGATGAGTAACTGGCAGAGGGACACAGGTGTGCAGGACTCGGGGCTGAGATCTCCAAGCCTGCTCGGTTCAGGACTGGGCCTCCTCCACCCAGCTCCCCGATCTTCCAGTAGCTAGACAGTTACCAATTGCCATGTAACCCTATCAACGGCCAGGATCCAGAGACTCTGAAACCAAGCTCCCGAAAGAGAACAAGGCAGAGTCTCCCGCTTCCGTGCCTGGCTGTCTTCACCAGTGCCCCTTGGAAGAGGGTGGACTGAGTTTCCCTCTCCGCCCTGAGCAGAGCTCCGACAGCTGAAGACCTTAGGATCCAGAGACTCTAAAACCAAGCTCCCGGAAGTGTGTGGCCGCAAATGCGGCCATGCGACCTCTTATTCTCTAGTTCTCACTATCAGAGAATCCAGCAGGCTACTGAGAGTATCATACCTGCCTATATGTCTGACTAGGAACACCTGTAAAGGTGATTAGAGGCTGCCCCAAAAGCTTCCATCCCTCTCAGAGAGCCCGGCAAGCTACCGAGAGTATCCCGCCCGCACAGCAGAACCTGACAAGCTAACCGTGGCGCACTCGATATGTCAAAAAACAGTAACAATGAATGGTCCTCATTCCCCTGATCCTGAAGGAGCCCCCAATATGTCATTGGGCTACACTAGCACGTGACAAGGACGAATGGAGACGTTACTGGGCCCGCTCGAGCAAATCAATTAACAACAGGGTGACAGTGATAGTGATTGTTGTTATTATTGTAATTACTATATTTTATGGGCTAGTGATTAAACCCAGGGCTTCAATGAAGCTCAGTGATAAGTATGTGTTTTATCACTGAGCTACATCTCCAACTCTCTTATTTAAAACATGAGAAGTGTCGAAGAATACAGGGGCTAATTAAAGCCTTACGTACAGCTGACTCTAGTTCAATCCCTACCACTGTGTGTGTGTGTGGTCCCCTGAGAAAAGAGGCAGGTGGGTTAACCCTAAGCACTGCTGAGTGTGGTCTCAAATCTCTCTCCCCAGCAAAAGAAACCCCAAAAAACAAAAACAAAAACCCAAATGAGCAAACAGGGGCTTGAGAGACAGTATAGGATATTTAAGGGGCTTGCCTTGTCCTCTAGTGTCCCAAGGTTGAATCCCTAGCACCACATATGGTCCCCTGAGCACTTTTCAGGGGTCACTCCTGAGCACAGAGCCAGGAGTAGCTACTGGGAACTTCTAGGTACCTCACACAAAAATGTCAACGAAAAAGAAGAAAAAATAATAATCTAAAACAACTTTAATACCTTGCCATAAATGATATATACTAGACGTAAATTTAAACTAAACATACTCTTTCCTAATTCACAATCTGATAATTAAGTGCAAGCAGAGCAAATATACTCTAAGATGGCATCTACAATTGTCTGTCAATTTCTTTTAAGACTTTTGTTAAAGTCACATGGGTGGAAAGTGTGCCAATACTAATGTTTAGATTATTGAACATAAGGTCTCTTCAATGATAATCCAAATTGACTGCGATAAAATTTCATAGTGTTATACTTTTTTTCTGGTTTTGTTTTTTGGGCCTCCCAAGAGGTTCATAGGAGGCCCGGGACTCCACTGGCAATTCTCAGCCCACCAGATGGGCAGGTCAATGCCAGGGCCTGAAGATGCAGTGCTACTCAGGTCCTGGGGCCTGCCGCTGATGAACCAGGTCATGCTGGTTGCTCTCAGGGGTCTCTAGGGCCACACCTGATGCCACTTGCGGGCTTCTAGGGCTATACCCAGTGATGCATGGGGGAACCATTTGGTGCCAGGGACCTTACAGGGTCTGATGTATGCCTAGCATGTTATACTACCTCCCTGGCCCAATAGTGACAGATTTTGAATGTGGGAAAATTTAAAAAGACCAAGAGTATGTAGACTTGAAGGTTCCTAGAGAAACATACATCAGTTTAGTATGAATCAGTGTTTTCAGAATTCCACAGTGCATGTGGATACTCCACCTTTTAAAGAGGTTATGTTGATTAACTGACATAGTGCAACTTCCAATTTATAGTATGTAGAGGCTGTTTTAAAAACTTATGTGGAGCCAGAGTCATAGTATAAAGATTAAGGTGCTTGCCTAGCATGTAGCTATGGCCACGACCCGGTCTGAATCCTGACACCCTGAGCAATGCCAAGAGTAGCCCTTGTGACCACCAGGTGTGGGATTCCCCACCCCAAATAAAGAAAAACTTAAGTGGTCTCATTTAAAAGCTTTACATAATTTTTTAAAGAACTTACCGCAAACTAGGGTCTGAACTACCTAAGTTAAGTAATGCAATATTGAGCAGGGTCCCAGGAACATCTTTTGGCCGAATCTTGGTGTGCTGGGGAATGGAATCAGGCTGTGACAATTCCCAGCGTGTCCGGATGTGAATGATAGACTGGACAATGGCATCACACTCCTGGTGCATGAAGGTGAGTGGTGTGCCCTGGTTTGCGATGGTTAAGGTGAACTGGTTCTCATCCACTAGGCAAATCTCCTCAATCTCCGAAGCATAATAGATATCATTTAGAAAGACTGATTGCCCCAAGACTTTGGTTCGTTCTGCTGAGGTTACTTGAACGGCAGTAGAACCAACCTAGAAAGTGGTGGTGAGGGGACAGAACGGGAAAGAATTAAATTCATTACAGCAGTAGGGTGTTTGCCTTGTGTGCAGCCAGCCCGGCTGAGCCGGGTTCAAGTCCTCCGCCCTTCTCAGAGAGCCCGGCAAGCTACTGAGAGTATCTCGCCCGTATGGCAAAGCCTGGCAAGTTACCCGTGACATATTCAATATGCTAAACACAGTAACAACAAGTCTCACAATGGAGACGTTACTGGGCCCGCTAGAGCAAATGGATAAACAATGGGAGGACAGTGCTACATTCAAAACCCAAACCAACAAACCAAATTTTCTGTTTAAAAAAGTTACTATTATTATATATTCAAATAGCTTCAATAACCATTGTGATTAATGCTCTCAAAAGATGAGAAAGCATCATAAAAATGTATGATCAAGAATCCTTTCAATAATTACTAACATTCTGACAGTTCGTCTTCAGAAGGCTTTGCAGTTAAACCCAGGTAATAATTACAACATTCAATAGGTACTTTCCCATTTCATAGTCCCACCATTTACACAGCACTCTTCCTGCCTCTAGTCCAACCCAGACTATATGCCTCCAGTAACTTCTGCAGGAACTGCATAAAGATAGAAAGCTTTGTTTCCTCCATTTTACATCTGCTCTACTACACCAGAATACCTGAGCAGGACAGTCTGAACAGCAAAGAAAGGAAACGAATCATTTCCCTAACACGAGGTGAAACTTACTTTGATAGAAACCTTGGTGTCCTTGTGAGCTAGCTTCAGAGCATTGTGGAACACCTTCAGGTCCTCTTCTAAAGCCAAGGTGGCAGCAGGGAGTTTCTGTTGCTCATGCTCTATGTGCTCCGCCAGTTTCCCAGGACAGTCGATGAAAATGAGTCTTTTGCTTCCTTTAAGGCCAGTCAGTAGTCGCTCGTGGTACTTCGTGTACTCCCTGACCCAGGAGTTACAGTTATAGACATAGACTGCAGAGACATTGTCATAAGCAAAACCAGGAAAAACGACAAACCACTTGGAGAGAAAGTCTGTTTTAAAGCGATTACTAGGCCCAGTATGGGTTAGGTCCACTACAATTTCATATGGCTTTGCATAATATGGCTTTAAAGTCAGCAGGACATGATAAATCAGCAAATCACCGTTGATCTGACCAGTTTTAAACCTAAGGAAGATGACAAAAAAGGACACATTGTTAGTAGAGTTCTGAGTATACTGACACTACTAATAAATGTTATTACTTTTTCCTGGTTATTTCCTAGGGAAAACTACTAATAAAATAGCATTATCATAAAATGTCCAGATAATTATTTAAAAATGAGTGTTTTAGACATTAAGGAGACCATAGTTAAATGGAAGAAAGGAGGGAGCTGAAGAAATAGTACAGCAGGTAAAGAACTTGCTAGTACATAGCCTGCCTGGTTCAATCCCCAGTACCCTATATGGTCCTTGAGCACAAAAGCAGGAATAAGACTGAGCAAATGCTGGAATGTGTCACAAAAACCTAAAGACTAGACAAAAAAAAAAAAATCCACAAAGAAAATGGCTAGGAAGATAGTTCAACTAATACAGCACCTGGTTAGCATGCATAAGGTACTGAGTTTGATCCATTGAACTACATAAACTCCCCCACCAACTCCCCAAACACTGCCCGTCATACCATGGTGGCCATAACACCATCTAGTATGGCTCTGGATAAAAAAAGAAGTGGACTCGAGTGATAGTACAGTGGGTAAGCGCTTGCCTTGCATACAGATGACTGGGGTTTGACCCCTGGCATCCCCTGTGGTACACCAAGCACTGCAAGGAATAATTCCTGAGTACAGACACAGGAGTAACCTCTGAGCATTGACGGGTATGGCTCAAAATAAAAAAAAAACAAAAGGACGAAAATCACTGCCACTGTCCTCCCGTTGTTCATCGATTTGCTTGAGCAGGCCCAGTAATGTCTCCATTGTGACAACTGTTATTGTGTTTGGCATATCGAATACGTCACAGATAGCTTGCCAGGCTTTCCCGTGTGGGCGAGATACTCTCAGTAGCTTGCCGGACAAAAATAGAAGAGAAAAAAATGCCAATTCAAAGATTTTAATAACAAACTTTCCCTTCACAGTCAAGCCAAGTCAAAGGAAATTGGTTAACTGCCTCTATGCCCATCCAAAATGAAGCTGGGATTGGAATGGTCCAATCAGAGCCCTGTAGTAAATAGAATGGCATCAGTCAATTAATTTACCCTACCATGATAAGGGAGAATGGTCCAATAACAATCATATGATTCAGGTGCTGGAGCAATAATACAGTGGGTAGTGTACATGCCTTGGGAGTTGTCAGTACCTATCTTTAGTTATGTAGGAACAGCCTGCTTAACAATTAAAGACATAGGTTGTAAAATGAAAAGAAAGGGGACAGAGCAAAAGTACAGTGGATGGGGAGCTTGCCTTGCACATGGCCGAACTAGGCTTGCTCCCCCAACACCAGAGATGGTCCCCTGAGCCCCACCAGGAGTATTCCTGAGTGCAGAGCTAGCTAGAAGTAAGCCATGAACCTGTGGCCCTAAAAATCAATAAAATAAAAAGAGGAAATAAAAGTGAAGAGAGAAATGAGGGCCCCAACCACTGCACTGAGTCCTAGAAAAAGTCTCTCATGGGATCGAAAGTACCTGAGTGGCAGCCACGTGTCAAGTTTAAACATACTTGGGGTTCAAAATAAATAGTGCCCAGAGACACCTGAGCACCAAGGTCAAAAGGCCTGCCAGTGCCAGGTGCTCCTCAGCTCGCTGACTGTAATAGTCACATTGGTCTGAGAAGGGCTGAGGCACCTCTATGGGGGCTGGGTTGGTTAGAGTATGTCATCCTCCAGGAGCACCACAGGCAATGTGAGCCCCAGCTAACTGGCCATGCTCAAGGAGGTGTACAGGGACATTTTTTTTTTGGCTTTTTGAGTCACACCCGGCGATGCACAGGGGTTACTCCTGGCTCTGCACTCAGGAGTTACTCCTGGCGGTGCTTAGGGGACCATATGGGATGCTGGGAATCGAACCCGGGTCAACCGCGTGCAAGGAAAATGCCCTACCCGCTGTGCTATCTCTCCAGCCCCACAGGGACATTTTTAACTGGAGGGGTGCTCATGTTTACTAGCAGTCAGAGTCAGCTGGAAGGGGCAGAGTCTGCTAGACTCACAAAGAGAGGGAAAAAGAGAGAGAAGACTATGGCAAACAAGATCAGAAATGAGAGAGGGAGAAGTTATAGAAGATACCACAGAAATACAAAATACCATAAGAGACCATGAATAACTTTATGCCACTAAACTGGAGAATCTATATGTGGTTTTTGATTTTTTTTTCCTAAAGACTCACACAAACCTCCCAAGGAGAGAAAGAAAACCCAAAAGGAACAATTAAAATCAAGAAAATTGAAATAGTAATCAAAGTACTTGATCAAAACTAAAGCCCAGACACAGATAATTTATTAGTAAGTATCAAAGGAGATCTAGTACCAATCAAAGGTGATCTAGTACCTCAAGTTCTTCAGGAATTCTTTCAAAGTTTTTACGAGGTCAACATTACCATGATACTGAAAGTAGACAGAAACATGACTAAAGTATAATTACAGATGGCTACCCCTGATGGATGCAAAGATCCTCACCAAAACTCACCTACCTGAATTCAACAATACATTAAAAGACCAGTACATCAATCCTAAACATGAATTATTCCAGGGATGCAAGGATGACATAGGCAAATCAATTCATGTAATACAGCACATCAATGAAAGGAGAGATTAAGAATATGATATCAGAAGATATGAGTTTTTGACAAGATTCAGAAATAGTTTTTGATGAAAACTCAACAAAACGGTTATGAGTGGAACAATCATGAATATACAAAGGCTATATGCAATAAATTCACTGCTAATATCACCTCGATGACAAAAATTGAAAGCTTTTTCTCTAAGATCAGACACTGGCAAGGATGTCCACTCTTAGTATTATTATTCAAGTTAAATTTTGGTAGTCCCAGCCATGGCAATAATGCAAGAATATATATATATGAGATCCGTGGGCCAGAGAAATAGTATAGTGGGTAAGGTGCTTGCCTTGCATGAGGTGGACCTGGGTTCAATCCCCAGTATTACATCTGGTTCTCAAAGCACAAGCACCGCCAGGAGTGACTTGAGTGCAGAGTCAGGAGTAACCCTTGAGCATTGCTGGGTATGGCCCCAAAACCAAAACTATAAAGATTCAATTTGGAAAAGAAGATAAACTATCACTAATATGATAACACACACACACACACACACACACACACACACACACACACACACACACACCCCTAAAGACTCCACCAAACTATCAGAAACCATAAATCAGTAAAGTGGAGGGCTAAAGAGGTGGTACAAGGATTAAGGGTTAACCTAACATCCAGTAATTTCCAACTGTACTGTAGCCAGATGTGTATGAGTACCACAACTAGTGTGAGACTATTGGTGAGCACCATAACTTAATAAAGATACACTAGTAGTGTGAACAAGAGTGTGGTCCCTGGCAAACACATGTGTGAGCACCACAGAGGTTCTCAGTGAGCACTACAAAATCAGAACATTCACAAGCACCTGAACTAACAGTGACCTGTGGGGAGCTTTGCAACCTGTGAACACCACACTAAATGTGTGAGTGCCACAACCTCCCAGCTGTGTGTCTCCCAGTCTTTTCAGTAATATCAACAGAGGAAAAGGTAGTGAAGGAAACAAACAAAATACAAAGAAAAAAACAAAATAAAACAAACAAACAAAAAAAACAAACCCTATCCCCAAATGGGAGGAAGAGCTAACAGAACTAGCAGAAGACCCACAAATGGTCAAAAGGCATATAAAAAAAACGCTCATCACCACTAATTATCAGGGAAATATAAATCAAATGATAATGCGATCTCACCTCATTATTAGTGAAAATGGCCAATATAAAAAAAAAATCCCAGAAAAACGGGGGTGGGGGGACGGGAGGGGTGGAGAGAGTAGAGTAGGTAGGGTATTTGTTTTGCAAGTGCCCAATTCAGATTTGATCCCTGGCACCATGTAAGGTCTTCTGAGCTCTGTCAGGAGTGATCTCTGACAGCAGAGCTAGGATAAGTTGGGTTTGGTTCCCAAATCAAAACCAAACAAATACCTTTCCCCACGACCAAATTCCCAGAAACGATATTTTGGTGGTAATGTGGAGAAAAAAGAATTTTTTCATTCCATTAGTGAGTTTAGCCTCTGTGGAAATCAGAACTAAGATTTTTCCAAAATTTAAAAGTAGTACTAGTGTATGATTCAGCAATTCCACTTCTAGGTACCAATTTCAAGAATACAAAAATACTAATCTGATATATGTTCACTGTAGTGCTATTTATCATGGCAAAGATATGAAAATGACCTAAATATCCAATGAAGATGAGTGGATAAAGAAAATGTGTTATGAACTTAGTCCTATACTAAGTTCCTCCGCTGCTGAGGAGTTCCTTTCGCTTCTGTTTACCTTCCAATAAACTTTTCTATTTTCTGAAAAAAAAAAAAAAGAAAAGAAAAAGAAAATGTATAATATATACACAATGGCACAATTTAAAAATATTCAACTATAGGACTGGGGATACAGTACAGGGGTTAAGGCATGAGCCTAGCAACCAGCCAACCCTGTTTAGAAGCCCTGGCATAAGTAATATGGTTCCCCAGCATTGGCGAGGGAGGGGACCCCTGAGCACAGAGCAAGAAATAGCTCCTGAGTACTGCCTGTCACAAAACCAAAACCTGAAAAACGAACAAACAAAAAAACAAACAAAATCCCCAAATCCACTCAACTATAAGAAATGATGCAATGTTTGTGTGTGCATGTGAAGTGCCAGGGATCAAACACAGGACCTTATATATGCAAGGCAAGTGCTCTACCACAGAGCTACATCCCCAGCTCCCAACCCCCAAAGGATGAAATCTGGTACTTTGATACAATATGCATAGGGGTTCATGCTAAGTAAAATAAATCTGAAGGGAAAAGATTATCATAGGATGATCTCACTCCTGTGTTATTTATAAAGAAACAAAGCCGAGAAACAGACAATGTCCAATGAGAACACCCTCAAATTCTGACCATAAAGCTACCAAGAAGGAGAAGAGTGCTAACAGGCCTAATGGA